TTAGCTACAAAGAATCATGATATTATGTGTATTACATTAAAGAAAATATAAAAATTAGTCAAAAGTGGTTAAATGATAGGAGAAGCCTTAGTTCCTTATTATAGATAAATACTACCTGTTATGAATATGTATAAAAATAAAAGATGTAATCATTCATAATTTATTTAGTAAATATCGGAGATAAAATTGATTATGCATAAAGAAAAAATGAAAATCTATCTGATCTTATCTAAGAAACATTAGAAACACTTGAAAAAAATGGAGGAGAAGATGCATATATTAATATTAAATATATGATACCAACATATGAAAGTTGTATGTTTTGATCGTATATATTCAGCTAAAAATAAATTTAAGATTTTTTTCTCTCTAAAATCAATATATTTTCAAAGGCCATGAAATATTGATTACATTTATTTAGAGTAGAGTATAAAAAATAAGATAAAAGTTAATGACTTTGGGCTTCCCTAAATATATTTTTCGCGAAAGAGGAATATTGGATGATAAAAAGGTACTCACTATGGCTCCCATGTGCTCAATTTATCCATAGGAGCTTCTTTTTCATTGGTGACGTAGAGAAATCAATGGATCCTTATGTGAAAGATCCACACCTGAAAACTTTAGGGATATGGTGTTTTTCAGAAGGGTTTGGCTGACAATTAGTAAAAGTAGAGGTTTGGGTGAAGAACGAGTATAAGTAGCCCTCAATCCATGGTATCGATGGCTAACTGATATAAACTAACTACTAATTACATCAATTAATCTGAATAATAACTAAGAGTAAAACAAGATGAGCAAAACATGAAACAAGTCTGGAAACCATGTTCTCTTTAATACCTAACGGTCGGGGCGAACATTAGACATGAATATCTGAAGATAGTTTAACTAAACTTTGAGTAGACCTTAAAAGACATATAAAACAACATACTTAGTCAATGAGAGCTCTTATCCAAAAAAGAAGGGATAATAGATAAAATTAAATTAAATTAAAAAATCTCTGGGCCAAGTTCCCGACAGCCAGAAATGGGGTAGAGTTATGATTATTTATCTATTTAAATATTCAACATTTGAGGAGAGTAAGAGTTAAATTATCGAAAATAACTAAAGGCTAAATACTATCCGCTTATTAATTTGTGTGTAAATTATTTCATATGGGATTTAGAATAATTATATTTGTTGATAATTTTGTGTTAATCATTATAAATTGAAATGAGCTGTCAATTTTCATAAATGTTTTAATATTATTTCAAAATGAAATAAATTAAAATCAATTTTTTAATTTATTCTTTATAACAAATATGTTAAGATTGAAGGTAGAAAAATTTATGTCTCAAAAAAGAAAATTTGAAAGAGAACAATAATTTTTAATCAGTAGACAACTCTATATCAAAAAGATAGAAAATAATGATTGTTTTAAATTTTTGGAGGATTTAGATTAAATTAAATTTGAATAAGTGGAGCAATATTTCTCAAAATTGATTGAAAATTCATTTGAAATTTTAAAGTAAGGCTTTATTTCTAAACTTTCCCTTCTATTTAGTACAAACTATAATTTAATTATAAAACACTTCAACATTTTAATACCTGCTCTTGTTATATTATGTAAATAATCAGAATGTATTTAAATATAGCAAGAGCAGCTTGAAGCTTTTCCTTTCTTTTTAGAAGTTATTAAACTTTAAGATATAGAATTAATTGACTTGGCTATAGAAGGATTGGTTAGTTTATCTTAGTATAAATTTGCAAAATTTGATTCATAAGAACTTATTTATAATTTAGTTGATTTGATAAATTTATAAGATTCTAATATTAATATAGCATAGATTTTTGCTTTGATTTTATAATGGTAAGAAATCAAAATTCACAACAAACAAATGATTGATTTATTATTTACTTCAAGATTTCAAGCATCTATTATATATTATTTAAATATAGATTGCTATACAATTATAAAATTTCTACTTAAATTATTAGAAAAAAATTTCGATTTGAGTTTTATTATTGATACTGAATTTTTACAAACAATTACAAGATTATGTGAGAACGCCAATGATAATAGAAAGATTTAAGTATCTTAATATCTAAAAATAGGTATTTTATTTCATGAAGCATTTATTATCTTAAAATTCAAATGCTATGTAATAGATCGATTATAGTCCTCTAATTCTTTAAGCTTAAAAAATGAAGAACGAAGAAAATTCATATAATTTTTTAATTGATTAAGTTTTAAATTTGTTAAGCCTTTAGAGTTCTTTAGTAAAAAAATAGAAACCTATTGAAATTCTCAAAGAATTATGAAATATTTACTAATTTATTTATTGTTTAATTTACACAATCAAATAACAAAATGTTATTCAAAAAATGATATATTTAAGAGGACTAGCTAAAAAATTTTATTAAATATATTTTTTCAGTATATTTTCAATAATCTAAAACATCACAAATGGATTGAAAGCAACTAAGACAAGTAATCTTTTCCATCATCTAATTTATCTAGGGCATCTTCAATAAGATCATTTTTTATATAGACAATCATCTCATTTTGATCTTGACACTTCAAAATTTCAACTTATTGTATTTTAAGTAATTATATGATAACAGTCTACAAAATGGCTTTTTTGTATTTAATTTATTTTACATTCTTTTTCAAACAAGAAAATATCTAAAATTCTTAGTGCTAATTCCTTTCTGACAAGCTAAAACAAGGAGAATATATAGGAGTCAAAGCAATATTAAGGTTCGACTTTTAATTCTTACATTTTATAATAGATTAAAGGAACTTCAAATTAAATTCTTTTCTCAATAATTTCTAGGATAGTCATATCCATTAAAAATACTAAGAATAATAAAATTTGATACTACCTTTACGATAATTTTAGATATTCAAAATGTGATTTAAAATGATGAAACATAGTTCTTCTTATTATAATTATTCTAATATAGAAGATGCTATAAAATTCATTCCATATACATATTTAACTTCTTTATCCAAATTAGAATAGGCAATAAGAATCCTTTTCAATTTATCTAATTTTTCTTAATCAACTTTATCTGATTCAAAATTTGTATCTGATTAGCTAGAATCAGATGAGCCAGATAATCTTTTTGAATTACTTTTAGATCGAAAACTTTTATGCAGATCTTTAAGAATGTATTACTCAGATGGTGACTCGAATTGAAGTTTCTAATATAATAAATTTTTAATTCTAGCTTTTTCTGTAAGCCAAAACCAAACTTGACATCTTAAATCTAAAGGGAAATTATGTCTCAGATTATAGCTTAATTCTGAATATCCTTAATCCTCAAAAGATCCTTTCATAATTTCTATCCATCGTTCCTTGGTAAACTTAGGACATATTTCACTGGTTCGTTGTTTTGGTTTTGATTTTGATCTCTTGGGTGATTCACCCGTTTTTATTCTTTTTGCTTTACAACACATTAACATATTAATTTAATTAACATAATGAATTTTTGATAAAATTAGAATCTAATAATATTTTTTAAAAATTACCTATTTTTTTATATTCATATATTTCATAATGTTCTATTTATTTATATATAATTTATTTATTTAAAGGACAATGAATAGAAATTAGTAATAACAAGGAAAAAGAAAGTAGAACAATAATAATAATAGAGGACAGCAATAACAATAAAATTCTTAATAACGCCCTTAATAATAATAATAATAATAATAATAATACATCCAACAATCCTAAAGAAATACAAGAGGAAGAGAGTTTAGAAGAAGAAGATAAGAATAAAAAGAGAGAGAAATGTAAAGAACAATTTAAAAATAAAATCAAATTGAATTTACAAATTGGTTCAATTCTATTTCAACAACAATGACAAATATAGATAATATCATGTTAAAGTTTTAACAATAAGATGATTTAGAAGAATTGTTTAGTAATATGAAGATACATCCAAATTAACTAAATTCTTTCATTACTCTAATGAGAATTTTTGGAGAATAAAAATAATATGATGCTTCAGGCTATGTAGATTTAATATTAAGAAGTTCTAGCTTTAATACTCAAATAGATGAAAAATGCACTTTACTTTTACTTTATTAAAACTCTATAGAGTATTTGAATTAAGAATTGGAAATATTGTACAGATTATTTTAAAGTTTAAAACTTCGTGATTATTACTCTCTAAAGCAGTCTAGCATTGCTAGTTTTTATAATCTTTTAAAAATCATCGAATTATATAATCCAACCCTTCAAAATAAAGCAAATAAAATTTTTTCGAACTGTGATTAATTCTTAAAATAAATTTATTCTACAGCTAAAGTCTTAGAATGGAGATAAATCCCTATATATCCTGTAGAATTAGAATTCTTTTCATACAATGGGAGAGCTAATTAATTATTTGGAAAATTAGAGATTCTGTAGATTGGAAACAAAAGTCTTGATTTATATCTTGATTTTCATTTTAATCTTATAAGAGAAGATTATATATTAGAGTTCAAAGAAGCAATTATTAGTTTAAATGAATTTGGATTTTAAAATGTTAACAGGGAAAAAACTAGTAATATTGGTTTATATTAAAATATTGAACTGTTATCATCAGGAATGAATAATTAGGATATAGTTTGGAAAATTTAAGTTGAATAATTTAATATGGATGGTAGAAAGTAGAAGAATATAAATTGGGCAAAATCAAAAAAGTTGGCTTCTGGTTCATTAATTTGTTTAACTAATATTGAATGTTATCCATTAATTTTTGGAGTTATTACATATAGAGATGTTAAATAAAATTAATATAAAAATGGAAAAATATAATTAGAGTTTAGATTTTTAAATCTAAATACATCATTAATGCAATTTTTTAATTTATTTTCATAAAAAACAATACTAATGTAATGTGAAGGATTAATTGATCCTATTCTATATTATTTAGAATCATTAAAAAATAAAGTTAGTCTACCTTTTGCAAATATTATTATTGAAAATTAAAATGTGATAAAATAACCTAATTATTTAAATTATAATCCCGTTTTTGATATTGATATATCAGGTAGTAATTTTTATTAAGGAAATAAATTCAATATATTTTAATAGCCTTGGCCATAATTGTAAACATCTCTAGATTTATCTTAAATAAATGCTATCAAATTGATGCTTTAAAAGGAAGTAGCTTTAATTTAAGGACCTCCAGGAACAGGTAAAACTTATTGCGGAGCTCTTGCTGTTAGGTTATTGTATCAAAATTTACAAAAAAAGGATTTCCCAATTTTAATTGTTTGTTATACAAATCATGCTTTAGATTAATTCTTAGAACATATTATTAAATTTGTACCAATTGAATATGTTGCAAGATTAGGGGGTTAATCAAAAAATCCTATATTATAATAATGTTAAGTTAGGTGTAGATAAAAAGTAGATTTTGAATTTCGAGAATTTAATAAATTAAAAAAACAAATGGGTACAATAATAGAAAGAATGCTAAAATATGAGTATTAAATTAAGCCAAAAGATTTAGAAAAATTATGGCCAGAACTATATTAATCTATAATTTATAACTTTTTTTGTGATAATGACTTACTAGTAAATGATGAGGAAATTGATGAAGATCTTTATTTATAGGAAAATGGAGAATAAGAATTGATAAAAAATTGGATTTACTGTTAAAAACCTAAAGAGAATACTATTGTTGAAGGTTATTTAAATGGAATGAATAGATATTTTAAAATGGATCAGATACTTAAATAAACTTAATAATTTATAAATTTATAAAAAACTCCTGGTTTAGAAAGGTAAGAACATGATAGTTCAGATGAAGAATTAGATGAATATTTAGATTCAGAAGATGAAGCAAATTATAATGATAATTATAAGGATCTTAAATTTAATTCATTTGGCGTAGATTAAGCAATTAAAAATTTTAATGAGCTTCATTAAAATTAAAATTTATTACATTATACCTATCCTTCAATTGAAAATATAAAAAGTTATCTTAATTAACACAAGAGTAATCCTTGGAAATTAAATCCAATTGATGTAAAAGAAATCTTAATATATTTAGAATGTCTAAGATATTAAAATGATAGTATAAAATTTTAAAAATTATACAAATAATTTTCTGAATAATCTAATAAACTTAAAGATTTATATGATGAGAATGAGATTTAAATATTAAATAGCATGAAGATTATAGGAGTAACAGTAACAGGTGTAGCTAAATAAACAAATAAATTATAAAAATTAAATACAAAGATAATGGTAATCGAGGAAGCTGCTGAAGTATTAGAATCTCACATAGCAAGTATATTAACTTCAAATTTATAACATTTAATTCTTATAGGTGATCATTAATAATTAAAACCATCTCTAAAAAATTACTTTTTATAAGAGAAATTGAAAGCTAACGTATCTTTATTTGAAAGATTATTTTTAAATAAATTACCAAGTGTTACTTTAACATCATAAAGAAGAATGAAAACAAAGTTTGCAGATTTTATACGTTAAATTTATGGATAATCTTATGAAGATCATCCAGATATATTGAAATTAAATGAAAAAGAAGTACTTGGTTTAGAGAAAGATCTAGTATTTTTTAATCATAAATGGTTTGAGGCTTAAGATGAAAATTCAAAAGAAAATAAATAAGAAGCATAAATGATTTATTAAATGGTTTAATATCTATTGAAATGTGGTCATTAATAAAATTCAATAAGTGTACTAACTTTATATTTAAAATAAGCATAAATATTAAAAAGAAAGTTTTTAGATTCTAAATAAAATTAAATAAAAGTATAAACAGTAGATAATTATTAAGGAGAAGAAAATGATATAGTGATTATATCTTTAGTGAGAAATAATAAAAAAAATATTTTAGGATATATATCAATAGAAAATAGAATAAATGTAGCATTATCAAGAGCAAGAATAGGTTTATATGTATTTGGAAATTTTGATTTTATTTAAAAGGCTTCACATCTTGGAAGTACATGGTAGAAAATGATTCTTTTAGCTTAAACTAAAAATTGTTTGAATGATTACATTAATACTAAATGTATACCACATGGAAATTGTTAAACTATAAGATAACCAGAAGATTGGACTAAAATTAAACCAAATTTATGTGATAAAAAATGTTTAAAGCTTTTTTAAAATTGTAATCACTTGTGTAATAAAAATTGTCATATTAGTGATTGTCATCCAGCAGAAACTTGTCCATTTTAATGTGATAGAATAATTGATTGTGGTCATAAATGTAAATTATTATGTAAAGATAAATGCAAATGTACAGAAACAGTTGATTTAATTTTACCTTGTAATCATAAAATGATGGCTTTATGTGGTACTGATCCTAATAATTAAAAATGTTAAAAAAAATAATAAATTTAATTTTCTAAGTGTGATCATATAACAGAATATTTGTGTTATGAAAGATAAAAATATACAAAAGAGTGTTTATAAATATGTCAAAGGAATCTTCCATGTGGACATATTTGTAATAAAATTTGTTCATAAAATTGTGGATAATGTGAATAGGAATGTTAAAAAGAAAGACCATGTGGACATAAAAATAAATGTAAAAACAAATGTTATTAAAATTGTTCACCTTGTGATTCACCAGTAGAAACTAAATTGATTTGTGGTCATCAAACATTCTTTCCATGTTGTTCTCAAAAAAAAGATCTATAAAATTATATTTGTTAATAATAATGTATTAAAAAAAGATTATGTGGTCATGATGGATAGAAATGTAAGAATAAATGCAATTAAGAATGTTCCCCTTGTTTATAAGAAGGTATAAGAAATTTAGAATGTGGACATGATATTTAAGTGAAATGTAGCACAGCTGATATTGAAGTTAGTAAAGCTTAATGTATGAAAGAATGCAAAAAAAAAAGATTATGTGGACATGATTCAATCTGTTTAAATAAATGTTATTAAGTATGTTCTCCTTGTTTAACAATTATTAAGAAAACATTAAATTGTGGACATTCAATCTAAATAGAATGTAATAAATCTAAATAATTTCATTTATGTAAAGCAAAATGTGAAAAAAAAAGACCATGTAATCATAATTAAATATGTACAAATTTGTGTTCTGAATAATGTTCTCCCTGCAATGAAATTATTAATCATACATTTCCCTGTAGTCATAAACAGGATTTCATATGTTCATCATCAGAAAGTTTAATCTAAAGCTTTAAATGTGTTGAACCATGCTTATTAAAAAGAATATGTGGACATAATGACCCTTGCTTAAATAAATGTTATGAAAATAAATGTTCTCCTTGTTAATAAATATTAAATAAAAAATTAGATTGTGGACATACAATTGAAGTTAAATGTTATGAATTTAATTAAACTTAAAAATGTTAATAACCATGTAATAAAATAAGAGAATGTGGACATATCTTTCCATGTTCTAAATTATGTAGCGATCAATGTTAACCATGTGAATAATAAGTTCTTAAAATATAACCTTGTGGACATTAACATTTAATTAAATGCTATTAATATTCATAACCAATCATTTGTAAAGAACCATGTATAAAAATTAGATCATGTGGTCATTCATATCCATGCACAAATAAATGTTATTAAGATTGTATTATTTGTAAAGAGATTGTCTAATTAAAACTTAAATGTGGACATGAGATTGATGTTGAATGTTTTAAATCATTACTCCCTTAGCCAAATTATATTTGTTAAAGATAATGCATCAAAACCAGAGTTTGCGGTCATAATTTTCCATGTTATAACTTATGTTTTAAAAATGATGAATGCACTCCTTGTCAGGCTAAAATTTTTAAATTATTAAACTGTGGTCATCAGTACTAAATTCTATGTTATTAATCTAATTTAAATATAAAAGTTTAATGTGAATAACCATGTAATAAAAAAAGACCTTGTGGACATAATGTACCTTGTCAAAAGTAATGTTTTGAATCTTGTACTTTATGCACTGAATTATGTTAGTTTCAATAATAATGTGGCCATATAATATCTATTCAATGCTATTAAAAAACTGATTAGGTCTTTTTGAAAAAATTGACTTGTCTATAACCATGTAATAAAAAAAGAGATTGTGGTCACAACTTTAAATGCACAAGAGCATGTCATGAAATTTGTAATCCATGCAAAATTGAAGTTTAATTAATTCTTAAATGTGGTCATGTTAGTTTAGCTTATTGTCATTAAGATCCAAACAAATTATAATGTACTTAACTATGTAAAATTGAAAAGAAGTGTGGACATTCTTGTAGATAATTATGTGGATAACCATGTTTAAGATGTGAGGAAATAATAACTAAAAAATTCCCATAATGTAATCATTTAAGATAAATAAAATGTTATGAAAATAATCAATATTTGGTTTGCTAATAATTAGTTCCTAAGAGGTATTCCTGTCATAAACACAGTACCTAGATTCCTTGTTTTTCATTTAACTCTTTTTCTGAGAGATGTCCAGACTGCAAAGATTGTACAATATTCTGAGTATTTAAGAATATATTTAGATAAATTGTACAAACTTTTTTTATATAATTTAAATTCTTAAATATAAATCTTTAAATTTTTAATCTATTTCTTTTTATGTATATTTATGAATTAAAAAGAGATTTACTAATTAATAATAAATATAGTCTAATAGTTATCTTAAATATCTTCATTTTTTTATTTCAATTATTAACTGTCTTTATTTTTTATTTATTCAAAAAATTAAAAACAAATTTGATATAGTAATATCAATATGTTTAAATTTTATTCATTTAATCTTGAATATTAGTATGAAGATTAACTTGCAAGGTTTTTACATAAAAGTAAATTGATAATAAAATTTGATAATATATTAATTAATAATTAAGGAAATGGGTATATGCTCTGGAAAACAACAAATAATTCGATAAAGCAAGCCATAATAAAGTGAATTTAAGAGATTTGCAAAATAAAATATAAGATAATTCTATCGTTTTGGAAAGGTTTTAGGATCAGGGAGTTTTGGTACTGTAAAAGTGGGTTACAGTATCAGAGACTCGAAAGCATTTGCAATAAAGACTATTCATAAAGTAAACACGATGGTCCAAATAGTATCGAATGGGAGAATAATTTTACCTAGTATTAAGAGAGTTAGACATCCTTACATTGTTGGATCATCCGAATATTATAAAGGTTTTTGAAGAATATGAAGATGAAATGTATTATCATTTTGTGATGGAATATTGTAGTGGAGGAGAATTGTTAGAAAGAATAGTAGAAAAAGGTATTTAAAACAATAATATATTAAATATTTAGGTTATATTGGAGAATCTGAATCGAAATTGATTATGTAACAATTATTTTCAGCAATTAACTATCTTCATTCTATGGGAATAGCTCATAGAGATTTAAAGCCAGAAAATATTCTTTTGGCATCTCAGGAAAAAGATGCACCAATAAAGGTTATAGATTTTGGTTTAAGCAAAAAATTTAAAAGTATTAATCAAAAAATTTAGAGAATGAACAGTAAAGTAGGAACACCTATTTATGTTGCACCTGAAATTATAGCTGGAGAGTATATAAATTATATAATTATTATAGTTATTCTTTTTAATGTGATGAATGGTCTTTAGGTTGTATAATGCATGTATTATTGTGTGGAAATCCTCCATTTTAAGCTAAAAAATTAGATATTTTAGAAGCTAAAATCAAACATTTTGATGTTGATTTCTCTTTTTCTATATTTGATCATGTTTCTTCTGAAGCTAAAGATTTAATTAAAAATTTATTAATTAAATAACCTAAAAAAAGAATTACATGTGAAAAAGCTTTAGAACATTAATGGTTTAAAAATATGAAATTAAGTACTCATAAACCATAATTTTCTAATGATGATCATTAAAAAATTCTTAGATTATTAAACACTTATGCTAACTCATCTAAATTAAAAAAAGAAACACTCAAAATTTTAATTAATCAACTTACAGAAACTTAAATATCCTAATTAAAAGATGTTTTTGTTACTTATGATAAAGATTGTAATGGTACTGTCTCAATTTAAGAACTTTTATAAATTATGGCAAACTTAGGTTTTAAGAAAAGTCAAGAAGAACTTATGGAATTAATTAAGAAATTTAACAATATTAATCCTTCTAATAATAATGATATTACCTAAAATACATAAATTACATATACATCCTTCTTGAGTGCCTTAGTCAATTGCAAAAGTTTTTTAAATAAAGAAAGATTATGGAATCTATTCAAATATTTTGACAATGATAATAAAAATTTTATTACTATCGAAGATGTTAGAAAAGCATTTGAAAGAGAAGGAAGGCAACTAACTTAATCGAAATTGATTGCTTTATTTTAAGAAATTACATAAAATGAGGAACAGAAAACTATTGATTTTGACTAATTTTGTCATATGATGTAAGATAATCTATATAACAGCAATAATAATAATGGCTAAAATTTGGAAAAAGAATTAAATTCTTTTTAAAATTGACAAATAATAAATTTATTTAACATTTATCAGTTTTTGAAAATCAAAAATAATAAATTTCTAATCATTTTTTATGTTGAAATGGTTTATTTTATTTTTTCATTTCAGATTAAATTATCAGTCTTCATAAATTAATTTAACTACATCAATAATCATTTCATATTTTCCTCTTGATAACAACTATTTACCATTATTAGCCTTCTAAATCAATTATCTTTAATTTACACATACTGCATCTTTTTTTTTCTATAAATTATTACTCTCTTTTTTTATTTTTATTAGTTTGTGTATTTTAAGTTCCTTCATCTTTATATTGCACTTTTAAGAAATCTGTTTCTGTATTAAAACTATTATTCTGGATGCAAATCTATTTCCAAGAAAAATAACATTTATTTTTTAATCATAAAATTTTAATTTATTTAATTAATAGAAATTTTTTTATAAATTTTATAGTTTAAACTTTCTTTTTAAAATATTTTAAAATGTTTGTTTCTCAAATTGCAATGACCAATAACATCAAATATATATTCATCACATCCAAAAACTATTTAAAAGATTCTAATCAATTATTAAATAATTATAAAAAAGTATTGATAGTTGTAAAAAAATATTTTAAGTGTACTGTTAGTTAACGGTATAGGAATAGAAATTTCAAAAGTATTTTCATTTAAAAAGATAATCATGCATAATACTTTATTTAGAATTAATCTTAAGCAATTATTAATGTAAATAGGTTTTTAGATAATTTATTATTTATTAAATAAAAATTAAATCCTCCCAAAATGATCTAATTCTTAAATATAATTTTTTTCATATCTTTGTGATTAAATTTAGAGAGACAAATACATTTCTTACAAAGAGGCAATTCTAAAATAAAACCGAAAGGCTTAAAAAAATTTTAAATAAATCTGAGGAGAAATATTAAACAAATATCAAGTTTAGGAAAATAAATTTATTTTCTAAATTATTATGAAGTATATTTAAGGTTTTAGTAATAATTTTTACATATAATTAATTGATAATAAAATAATGAGCAATTATTTTTTAAATTCAGGACTTAAAAGGGATGGCTAATTGTAATTAGTACCTGAACATGTTAAACTTAATTTAACATAACTAACTCCATCAAGTGTTGGGATAGTTTAATTTTAATTAATTTTAGCAGAATAAGAATAAAATATTATCGAATTAATTGATATTCAAGATAACTTAGGAAATGCTTTGATAAAAATAACTTTGAAAGAAAGAGAACTTATAATTCAATATTTGGATAATACATACAAATTTCCTATTCAATAAATCATTTTATACAAATTATATCCAATATTTATATCATTGTATGATGAGATAAGTTTGATTACAAATTTCACAGTTCAAAGTTAAAAACTTCAATAAAGATTTAGTTATACATCAAATAAGGTTGGAATATTATTAGGAAGTAGAAGTCATCTGAATGCATTTACAGGAATAACTAGAAATTTATAGATTAGATTTGTAAATGAAAATGAATTGAAAAAGCAAATAGAAGATGAAATAAAGCTTTAAAAATAAATTCTTAATGATTTGAATGATATAGGATAGATAAAGTATAAATTACCATTTAGCAAACCATTATAATCAATAGAAGAATTAGATAATTGGAAACCAAATGAGGAATATACTATTCTTCCAATATAATAATTAAAGAAAATAAATAGAACAACAAATTAACCATTATTAGTATGTCATGATATGTAAGGGGGATATAAGGAAGATATTTGGTGTTTTGGAAATCCTTTGAGATAAAATAGTTATCGTTTTTACTATATGACACATTGTGATATTTTTGTGTATTTTTCACATACTTTGATAACAATTCCAAGTGTGCCATATATAAATATTTGTCATTAATTTGGTACAAAAATATTAGGAACAATAATAACAGAAGGAGATGATAATAAATAATTGACAAATTAATTATTAAATATGAAATATGTTGATAAATTAGTATAGATTTGTAAATTCTATAAATTTGATGGATATTTATTAAATATAGAAACAAATGTGGATAATGTAGATTTATTTTTATAATTCATAAAAGAATTGAGTGATAAATTATAAGAGATTGGAGCTTTATTGATGTATTATGATAGTCATAATGCAGAAGGTATTTTAAAGTGGTAATCTGAGTTGAATTAAGATAATATGAAATACTTTTAAGCATGTAATTATTTCTTTAGTGATTATCATTGGAATTTAGATAAATTATCAAATACATAAAAGAATGCAGGAGATCAAAAAAACAATGTGTTTGTAGGGATAGATATATGGGGTAGAGGATAATATGGAGGTGGATAATTTGATAGTTATATTGCATTAAAAGAGATAAAAAAAGCATAATTAGGAACAGCTATTTTTGGTTAAGCTTGGACATATGAAACAGCTAATGATAGTAGATCATAATTTATTTAAAATGATAATTCATTATGGTAAGGTAAAAATACAGTATCATTATTTGATAAACATAAAAATTAGTGGGTAATTACATCTAATGGAGGATCTGGTTGGAAAATAGTGTAAGAAAATGGAGATGAGACTGCTATTTCATCATTTGATTGGTGTATCAGAACATATACAATATAATTAAATTTAGTATCTTCAAACAAAGGTGGTATAATTTAATTTAATGCCAGAGTTAAAGGAACTGGTCCTAAATATGATGATTTATATGTAATTATTAATATTATTATTATAGCTTATTGGAATAGAGTTATATGATAGATAAAATAAATGTATTGCAAGCATTGATTCATTTTCAACAAAAGTTAATAAAAGGGAAATATAATTTAATGCTGATTATGTCAATGTTGCTGATGATAAATGGAGAGAACATACTTTGAGTATCAAAACCACTGATGATACATTATATGTTAAATTTATAGAGGTAGGAAAAGATGTAGAACATTGGGCTGGAAATTATGGTGCTTAATTTACTGGAGAATCTATGGTTTATATTAGTTATGATTGTAATAAAGATTTATTAAGAATGTTAAAGCCAAAAACTTATTAAGAATTTCCTTTATAAACTTATTTTAATAATGCTGTTGGAGAAGCTTATTTTATTGATGGTCAAAAATTCACTCATTATAAAGGTTATTATGATAATCTAAATGATTTTGATTATTCTTTATGTTATCCAACAAAAAAGATTATAAGCTAAGAAATTTAAGATAATTGGGAAAGCAGTATAAATTTTAATGATGCTTGGAATGGAAGTAGTTGTATCAAAATTAAAGGAGATTTATAAGTTCAAAAGAGTTTTCTTATTAAATTATTCAAAACTAGAATAGACCCTTAAGGAAATATTAATGCAAGTATCAATATGAAGAACTTTGATAAAAAGATTTTACAATTAAGTTTGGTTTTGAAATACTCTGATAAAGTATTATAAACTTTTAAACCTACAAAAATTCTTACAAATAAAGGATGGAATGTTGCATAATATGTTATTTTAGATCAAGGAAAAGCTTTGAAATCTGTATATCTTAAAATAGAGAACATTTCTTAATAATAGTAAGCTGTTGATGGTCTTATTGGAGGTTTAGCTATTTATGATGATAGATATAATGAATAAATTAAATTTGCCAATGTAGATTTTAAAGATCCAACTAAATATATCAAAAATATTTAATTAAAGGAAAGTGTTACAAATCTGTATGATTTATATATTTAATTGGAACTAGGAGAATTAGGACCACTTCTGAAAACTATTAGAGTATTTAAGTACATTATATTATATTAATTTTAGTGATAAATAATGGATTGGAAATGTTAGATCTAATTATGCTTATTTCCCTGAATTCCCTTTTGATGGAAAAGAAATGTTTGTGAGATTGTAGATTATTTTAAATAATGGAAATCACATTAAGGCTGAATCTGTTTTGCCTTACATTCTTTATTCAGATTAAGTTGTTAGATTACCATGAAAAAATATATATTATTATGCATTTAATTCCAAAATTGACTAAATTAAACAAATCTCAAGAAGATATATCTGCTATTCAAGATCATCTAAGTCAATTACCATAATTTTAAGCTCCTTATGAAGTCTTAAAAGATGTAATAATTTATAACAATATAGTTATGTAAAACTATTGGATATGTCTTTTTTGAAACTGGACAAGTAGTCTAACAAAATAATAAATTTGCTTTCTATATTATTAATGGATTGCTTAATACTCAAGATAATCTCTTAATTCAACCTGAAATGTGGTATGAAGCAGAATAAGGTTTTGAAGCTAAAGTATTATTTATTTATATTCAAACTTAGTAAGATACTCATTGTTTTGCTTTACCTCTTGTTTTATATAAAAAATTTAGTTCCACTCATGGAGTTTTATATTAATAAAAGAAAAAATCACTTATAGTCAATTTACCTATCATTGAAAAAATTGCTCCAAAAATATAAGAATAATTAATCAGACTATTCTAAGAAGTTAAGTTTGCTCATACAGATTTCATATAAAAGATGGATGAACCTGGAAATTCATTATTTATTTTACAATTTGGTGTTTTGAGTATTACCAAAAATTATTAGAAAGCACTTTCTCATTATGAAAAATCAGTATTGCCAAGAAAATTTTGGTTTAATGAAATAGTTATATGTGAATTAATTGATCAAGGTATTTTAGGAGAAGAATTTACTAATTAAGAAAAAGCTCTTTATAATGTTTAAGTTATATCAAAATCTGCTTCACTTTTAATGATATCGATACAATAACTTAAAAACATATTTCCTTAAGTATATCAATCTATTTGTAAAATGTTTAAAGAAAAAACTACTTTGAGAGATGAAATTTATAAATAAAAGTGTCAAGAATTAGAAAAAAATTGGTAAAATACTAATAAAGATTAAATGCTCAATTAAGATATTAAAAAAACTATTTCTTTTAAAGTTCTTTCTAAATAACCTTCTGCTTGTTAAGATTAGCAAAGCTAAACAAATGATGATCAATTTGGAAGTCTAATAGGAAACTTATCTTATAAGAAAATGCCAACTTTTATTTAATAATATTTTAGATAGAAACATATTAAAGTAAAGAAAAGATAAGATTAGTATTAACTAAATAATTCGAATTCATCTTCATTAAATAACATAGATTCAACTTTTGATCCATATGTTTTACTTTAAAAAACTTAATAAAAAATGTTAATTTAGTAAAATTCTTTAAAGTAATAAAATGGTCTTCGTTTAACAAAAACAAGATAAATGGATAGAAAATTAGAATAAACAGAATCTCAATAAATTAGGCCCAATACTTCGCAAATAATGGTATAACAACAATTTTCTTTGGGATAAACTTAATAATAATAGCAATCCTAAAATTAATAAGGTAGTGGATATAGATAAGAATTAATTTAAAAAAAAACTATCTTTTAAGGTTTTCATACGCCTAAACCAATTATAAGATAATTGAAAAGAATGTATAGGAGTTCTTCTGTTCATAAAATAGAAAATCCTCCTTTTTCTCTAATACCATAACTAAAAAATAAAAGTAATTTAACTAAGTATATAGCTCCTAGAGAAAATATGTTCTATCTAAATTTATAACAAAATTATTCAGGTTAAAGAATCAAAGTAAATTAGTTATTACATAATTCTATAGATTGATTTATAAAAATAAATAAATATATAATTATAATTTCATAAAGGTGACAATTATTATCTACAACTAGGACATGATAATTTGATTGACATCCATTTGACTAGACAGAGTACATGAAATTTATGGTCCTTTAATAATAAAATTTCTTAATACGCATGGAGTTTTCATATAATGATTTTATTATTTTTTCATTGCTTCCTTTATCATATAATTTCTTTCTTCTTCCTTTGTTAGTCTTACTGCAGGAACTTAATGAAGAGCCCCCATACAAATAGAACATTCTTCATTAAATAAATGCTAATTTAATAACTATAAATAATCTTACTGCATATTCTGAGGAAGGTCCTTCTTCTAGATCAAATGAAGTTGGTATTTTATAATAATAATTATATTTTTATGGGAAACAAACTTTAGGTAAAAAAAATTAAGGTCCCCATTCATTTTATAATACATGTACTCCAATCTATATTGCTACACATACAAATATGCAAATAAGTGATAATGGCATTGGTTTTAAAGAAAACAGATTGTTCCAATACATTCTAAAGTAAATATAATAAAGCAATCTTGGAAATAAGAATCCACAAATAAATTTAAAATTAAATCTTACAAATTAACCTCTTTAAGCAGCATGAATTATTTATGGAACTGCATATAAACTTATAATAAATAAGAGCCATGCTGATAAAATGTATTCATAAATTAAGTACATACTTGTAAACATACAAATGTACAAAATTGAATAAAATTTAATCATTTAATTTCTAAGGCTTTAATCATTTCTAACTCTACTTTTCCATATTATCATTAATATTCTCATTTCAAATATTGAAAACAGTAAAAATTAAAGAAATGAAGGAGTTATAAAATATTAAAATAAATATTCTGATTGCATAGCTTAAAAGAAATTCAAAAAGCATAAGAATAAATCTTGAACCATTACAAAACCTATAGAAAACATACTATATTCTTCAGGATTATCTAAACCTTCAATAAGAGCTCTAAGTATTCTTAATCCATAAATCATACAACACAAACAAACGATACTATTCAAAAATGAATAAATTATCACTTAACCTTCAACCTCATCTGTATTATCTTTTACTTCACCTAAAAAGATTTAATGAAGATTTTGACATTCTGTATCTACTCTTACATCCATAATTAATTATTCAGCAAAACTTATATTCATATTGTTTGTGATATTCTTTAATTCCATTGTTAATTCATTTTAACAACCTATCATTTATAATTTTGATTAATACCACTTGTATCATTGTTTTTTATCTTTAAAATTAAGGGTGTATTTAAAGTTTTTACATATTCAGCAACATTAAGATAAAATTAAAATTACTATTATGGATCATCAAGGTATGGACTTGAAGAAAATAATACACTTATATTAAATTCTGGCTTTAATTAACTGTACTAATAAACATGGAAATGTGTATAAGTTCTATTAAATAATCCTTTAAAATGTCTTTCAGAAAAAAATGAAAAAAATTAGTATAAATAGCATTCAGCTGAAGTTTTATTAGTTGAATTTTCTATAATCAATATTATACATACAAATGTAATTAAGTATTTCTATATCATCAGATACATTTAGGCACTAATTTAGACTATTTTGATGAACACCTGAATCTTCAGTATAAGTTACCGAGTACATGATCATAGCTGAGATGCTCAAGAAAATAAGAAACTTTATTCCTATATGAATGTATTGTGGATCATACGTCTTGTTCTAAATTCATTTCCTTACTCTATTTGATTATGTGGCAGCATTTAATTTATTTTAAATAATATTCTTAATTTTAAACTATTTACCATCTCTTTTTTATAAATTAATGTTAGAATGACACATATTAAGAAATATTTCAATTAATCTAGTAATGTGATTCTAAAAAAACAAAAAAATTGTTATAATATATTACCATCTATTCTAAATATTTCTAACCATACATTTTTTAGTATTGGTTTTTTAAATTAGCAATCATTGATTAATATTATTTCTTTTGAGTAGTTTAACTTCTATTTAATATATAAATTGTAGTAAATTATTGAATAATCAAATTTAAAAACTTTTACGAATGAAATGCAAAATAAAATAAAAATTTTAAGTAAATATTTTAAAATCTTAAAAATGCATAATATAGTGCAAGAACAACATTAAAAATATTTTCACTTTTATACTCATTTTAATTGTTTTCATTTCTTTTTTGGTAATATTGGAGCATGAATTGGTGTAACTTATTTTATTTATTAACTTTAAGTGTGTTTATGTACAGGTGTTTATTAAATAGGTTTATTGGGAACTAATTGTAGTTTCAATCCTTTAGCTTTAACTGGATCTCTAACACTCATTCTATCTGCTTATGCTTTTAACTCATCAATTTCATCAATATCATCCTTATCATTCATTTTAGGGCTAGGCGATGCAGATAATGATCTTGCAGGACTTGATGGCAATCTTTAATTAAGCTATTTATCAAGTTTAATAATCATTTAAGTTATTTAAATGAAGGCATATGATACTGAATATTAATTACTACATTAATGAATTAATTTTACTCTTATTATATTTCATTATATTTTTAAATCCAATAATTTGCAATTTACATATTTTTAGAAGTAATTTAATTTTTATTTACAAAATCCTTAAATTTTCTTAGATTTTCTAAAAATTTATCTACATCATTTAAAAACATATTCAACAAACTCCATTTTAGATTCTATTTTAATAAATGGATTTACTTTTTCATCTAATAGTTCAGAAGGAATCTCACGAATAAGTCCTGCAAATAAAGAAACAAGAGCAGCAGTTGCAAAAATATTCATTTAAGATGGATTAACCATTTTTTATAATAGCTACATATATTAATATTCTTACACTAAGAGCTCTATGATCAAGAGCATTAACTTAATCTAAAACATATTAAAAAGTAACAACTTGTGGTTTCAAGGATTATCTATTGTAATTACCTCTAAACATATAATGTTATTAAATTTAATAAATATTATTAAATAATTTAATATACATAAATAATTAAAAAAAGAATTTTTGCAAACAATAATAATATACATATACTTCCTTATTAAAGAACTTTAAAAATTTAAATGCATTAATTTTTTAAAGACTATAAGCTGTAGATACTAAGTTATCAATCTGTTAAATAATGTATTAATGCATTTTTATTTTTATTTTCATTATTTTTTATTTAAAANCTTCTATTTAATATATAAATTGTAGTAAATTATTGAATAATCAAATTTAAAAACTTTTACGAATGAAATGCAAAATAAAATAAAAATTTTAAGTAAATATTTTAAAATCTTAAAAATGCATAATATAGTGCAAGAACAACATTAAAAATATTTTCACTTTTATACTCATTTTAATTGTTTTCATTTCTTTTTTGGTAATATTGGAGCATGAATTGGTGTAACTTATTTTATTTATTAACTTTAAGTGTGTTTATGTACAGGTGTTTATTAAATAGGTTTATTGGGAACTAATTGTAGTTTCAATCCTTTAGCTTTAACTGGATCTCTAACACTCATTCTATCTGCTTATGCTTTTAACTCATCAATTTCATCAATATCATCCTTATCATTCATTTTAGGGCTAGGCGATGCAGATAATGATCTTGCAGGACTTGATGGCAATCTTTAATTAAGCTATTTATCAAGTTTAATAATCATTTAAGTTATTTAAATGAAGGCATATGATACTGAATATTAATTACTACATTAATGAATTAATTTTACTCTTATTATATTTCATTATATTTTTAAATCCAATAATTTGCAATTTACATATTTTTAGAAGTAATTTAATTTTTATTTACAAAATCCTTAAATTTTCTTAGATTTTCTAAAAATTTATCTACATCATTTAAAAACATATTCAACAAACTCCATTTTAGATTCTATTTTAATAAATGGATTTACTTTTTCATCTAATAGTTCAGAAGGAATCTCACGAATAAGTCCTGCAAATAAAGAAACAAGAGCAGCAGTTGCAAAAATATTCATTTAAGATGGATTAACCATTTTTTATAATAGCTACATATATTAATATTCTTACACTAAGAGCTCTATGATCAAGAGCATTAACTTAATCTAAAACATATTAAAAAGTAACAACTTGTGGTTTCAAGGATTATCTATTGTAATTACCTCTAAACATATAATGTTATTAAATTTAATAAATATTATTAAATAATTTAATATACATAAATAATTAAAAAAAGAATTTTTGCAAACAATAATAATATACATATACTTCCTTATTAAAGAACTTTAAAAATTTAAATGCATTAATTTTTTAAAGACTATAAGCTGTAGATACTAAGTTATCAATCTGTTAAATAATGTATTAATGCATTTTTATTTTTATTTTCATTATTTTTTATTTAAAAAATAAATTATTAGCTTAAATAATATTTCAAAGCAAATTAAAAAACTTATATTTTTTAACATATTTTAAAGATTAAGAAAATATTTAATAGTATTAAATTATCATTTTTTATCTTTTGAAAATCATAAAAAAAAATTTTCTATTTTAAGGTTATTCTGCTAAATTAATTGGCATTAAGCATAAAATGATATAACAAGTTTACAGCATAATAAATGAATTTTAATTGATATATTAATATTTTTTTTCCAAATATTTTTAATAAACTCATAACATTTCTTGCTTTTAAACCTATGCTGATTCACTTTTTTAATTTTCATCTTAAAGATTATCTGCTAACAAATCTTCTTCTTCTTTTAATTCCTAATTAATATTATTTTAAAACTAATCCCCTTCTTACTAATTTTAAGTTTAAGAATTTTATTCTGATTGAATAGCTATTTCCTAAGTATTCTCTTATTATTATTCATGTTATTCAGAATGATTTTCTTTTGGTGATTTTTCTGCAGAATTTTATACTTATGAAACTTATGCTTTTTCTTACTGTTGTTAGAATTATTCATCAGTTTAATGCTAATTTCCTGATTAAGCTACAGGCTTAGAATTTTTTTTAACTATTTTTTTATCTTCTTGTTTAGTTTCTACTTTTTTTTCATTTTATTTAGTATTCGCATTTTTTTAAACTCCATTCTATTTTTATTCTTATGGTTTATCATTTTTTTTTGGTTGGTCTTTTTATTGATCTTTTGGTTTATCTGATTAAGGAGGCTAAGATGGTTAAGATTATTTATTTGTTTTATTTTAATCTACTTTTTTTTCGTCTTTTTTCTCATCCTTTTTTCCATCTTTTTAAATATTAGCTTATTTTTGTGGTTGATCTAATTCATATATAAAATTAAACCTTAATTAGAAGTTTTTGTTTCTTTTTAATCTTTTTATTCCGGCTACTTAACAAGTTTTTATTTTTATTATTATGGTTATTATTAATGTTAGGTTGCAGTTTTAGGTTGTTTTTCAACAGATTATCCTGGAGATTTTGGAGCATCTAAAATATAAAAATAAATTTACTTATTTCTGATTCATTTTTAGTAGTTTTATCAACTACTACACTTTAGCTTAAATTTTTCATTCCAGTTTAGGGCTTTTATTCCTTTTATTTATTTTACTCTTATTTTTATTAAATTCCTGTTGAAGGTCTATCAACCTTTTTATGATCTAATTTTCCAGATATAATCATTTTTTACCATTATTATTGCCAATATTTTCTTGCTTCTATTATTGCTTTCCTTGTTCTAATCATAATTTAAATCATGATACTTTTGTCTTCTTGAGGTTTAAGTGTAAAAACCAAGGTTTTGAGTTAACTGATTTCTCCTGTCAGAAATTTGATTTGATCTTCCTTTTGCAAATCTTTTTATTTTAATTCCTCAATTTACTCGAGTAATGGTTTGACCGAATCTTGTAAGAATTACTCAACTTCTGGAGAAATCTATTACATATCCAATTTCAAATTTATATTATATATTTTATTTTTTATTCAAAAGAATACTTATTTCTCAATTAAATGAGCGTCATAAAATAAAATATCTTAATAAACTTTATTTTTATTATTTATCATTCAAAATTATAGTAATTAATTAAATAAATCCTTTCTTTGCATATAGGGCAGAATTTTTATTACAATAACCATTACTTGATACAATCATAGTGAAATAAATGATTGCAATCTAATCTAATATCAACAGCCTCTTTTTAGGGCTAGATATCTTCCATACAAATTGGACAATTTTCTGTTGCACTTACTTTTACTCGTTGATTATCTAATAAATTAATCTTGCTTTATAATCCTACTTAATTTTATTAATCTAATTAAGTGAAATACTCGTAAATTTCTTCTGGAGACATTTAATTTACTTGCTAATCTGTAATGATTATACCAGGTTAATATAAAAATTATTAACTTACCTGATTCTTATTACTTGCAATGCTGTCAATTAAGCTTATCTTTATTTTTTTATTTTCAGCCTATCTTTGTTTATTTTATTATGGTTATAAACTTTAATTAAATTCTTTTTGTTTCTTTTGATTGTCTTGTAAACTTTATTAATTAATCTACTTTTAGTTTTATTAAGTTTAAATTTCAATAATCTATTTTTCATTTAGCGATTTTTCTTTTTGAACTTTTTTTTTCGATATTATTATTATTTCCTAAGCTTATTTACTTTAATCTTCATTTTTTAAATCACTATTTTTTGGCTCTTCTAAATAAATTTTAATATCTTTATTTTTTTATTAATATATTAATTATTAGCCTTACTATAAATTTTGAAACTATTGTTCTTGTTCTTCATTTAATAACAATTAGTTATTTGAGAATGATAACTATTATTATTATTATTATTAAATCTTCAGAGGATAAATATCAAAAATTTTATTTTAATCTAATAAATTCTAAACAAATTATTAATTGCTGTTTACTTGCTATTGTACATCTTAAATATTTGAAGTATATGGATAATTGAATTACTAATCATCTATTTCTTTTATGGCATTTTTTAGATTTTTCTTTTCTTAAATTAGTGTATTTGAATTAACCTGCAATTTATTTTCTAAAGGAATTTATTTTTATTAGTATTTTTCAAATTGAGTATTTGTATTATGTAAATTTTAATTTTGTATCGCATCTTAAGTTATTTTATTTTAAACAAGAAATTATTGAGGTTCTATTTAATTTTCTGTAATCTTTATCTAATTCTGTTTAGATTTATTGAGATCATCCCTTTAAAATTAATCTTATTAATTTAATTGTTAAATATCAAATTATTCTTAAATTTTATATGATTGAGGTTGGGTTTAATTTGAAGAAACTTGTTTTTTTTCTAGGTAAACTTATAAATCTTAATTTTATAAGAAAGCTGGCTTTATGGATAATAAATTGTGTTTTATTGGTTCTGGAACATTTTCTATTCCTATTTAAATTTTAGGTTTTAATTATTAATTTTAATTAGCTTGATTGGGATATCCAAATATATTTGATTAAAATTTATTTTATTCAATCAGTAGAGCAAGCTATTAATCCAAATTTTCGAAATCTTTTTCTGATATAATTACAGCACAGATAGCCTAATGATCTTTCAATTGAGAAGAGATAAATGGTTTATTACAATTCAAGCATTTCTCATGTTGAACTTCTTTAATACTTATATTTGATTTTTTGGAATGCTACATTTAATTTTATTTAATATTCTAATAGAAATTATCAAGTTTTATTTACAATTCTTTTTCTACATTATTTAAAAATATGGTGGCTACTTCTCTCAATAAACTCAGGGATTTTGTAGAGCACTGCATATACTACATGATATATTTCTATTTTTTTTTTAATTCTTAAATTTCTTCAAAAAAAAATATATGTCACCACTCTAAACATAATTTTTTTCATCTCTTAAGCAGATAGGCTAATTTTCAGAAGACATATAATTTTTTTATAAATATATTTTGGAAAAATATTCTGTATTTTTATCATCAATTTTTATTCAAATATAATGATAGAATTAATCCTTTCCTTTTTTGGAAATTGCACATCATAATGATCAGATAAAGCACTAACATGTTTGATTATATTTTGATTATCAGACAGAAGTTAACTCATCTAAACTTTATATTTGATTAATAAAATTAATTAACATATTAATATTATATGTTGATAAAATAGAATTAAAATTCTCCATTAATCTCTTATATAAATAAATTCAAAATGAAAAATCTTTAGAATAAAATTTTTAAGGTATAAAATGATACCTCAAACGATTTCATTATTAGGAAGTTCGAGATTTGTAGATAAGGATATAAAGATAAGCAGGCGGAATAACTGGAAAGATGAACTTGCGTTTAAGTGGACAAATTTAAACGGATATATGAATGATAACATGATAGATATGAATGGTAATAAATCTTGTAAAGGGGGAATAATACTTAATTTAGTATTAAATCTAGTTGAATTAAAAATTTTAATAAGTTCAAAAAAAAAAATTATTTGATTTTTCACTAAATTAATTTAAATGTAAGATATGAACATAGATGGATGTAAAACTTTTAAATATATTTATAACTATATATACAAAAATAAAATTTATGTATAAAATCTCAATAGGTTAAATTGCTTTCTTTTTAAATGTGATTTATTGAAGTAAATTTGAGCTTATATAATTATTCAAATGACTCAACATGTTAGTATTACCTACAAATAGGACATTATAAAATATTCTTCTATAGTTAAGAGTCTAGAAGTAACTTATTTATGTCATTTTCGCAAAATATATGACCGCAAAACAAAGGATAAAGTTATTCATTTTCACATAAACAAATAGGGCAAGAATCTTCTATGAAAATTTTATCCGAGACTTTGTCTAAAATAAAGTATCCTTAAGTTTTCTCTGCTTGTATAGTCCCATTTCTTCTAACCAATTAAGGTATTTCTAAATTTAAAAAATCGAACTCTTCATCACTAACAAGTTCATTATTTTGTACTTCGTTGTTTTCTATGTTAAACATTAACTTTCTTTAATAATTTTAATAATATAATGAAAGAATTCTAGTTTTATTTTTTAAATTAGCAATTTTTATATAAATAATTAATTCAAACTTTTATAATTTCTAGATAAAGAATGAAACTTTTAATTTACTTCTATTAAAATAAAATGTGATGATTTAGAATGACTGAAAAATAACTAATAACCTAAATGAAATTCATAATCATTACCTTAATACCATAAGTGATGCAATTATTAATATTAAGAAACAAATAATACTAAATATTTTATTCTAATAAATTTCTTAATCCTTCATCAAAAAATTTTAAGTTTTTCTTTTGATCCATTCAAACTGTCACCTTTAAAGTACTTAAAAGAACTTAAACCAATTATATTTCCATATAACTAATTTATTGAATTGCTTTCTTAATATGTTTGATATATGTATTTAGATGTTTTTTTTTCTATTAATTGCCTTACAGTTTCGAACATTGAATTAGGCTTGATTAAACATTTTCTTATCGTTTAAAAAACTCCTGTTTCTTTGTAACTCGAATTTGTGATGAATATTTAAAAAATATCATTTCAACTATTCTTATCGACAATATATTTTGTTGAGTATTGCAGAGATTTGATTAATAATCATTTCAATTAAAAAATTAGAATGAAAACTAATTAAGTTATAATTGATTTCTTATATGCCAATAATTTATTTTGTCTGTTTTAATGGAATTATTGGATTTCCTTATGGAATGTGCTAAAATTGAAAGAACCATTGAAATAAGTCGGGAATTTTTAACAAAATTTCCTTCTTATCATCCTTATTAGGCTTTTAAAAAAATTGACTAATATAATGAAGTATTATATTAGTTACCATTTTAGGGTTATATTACAGCATAAGCAATATAAGTTTTTTTACACCGATTTGGCTATTTACATACTCTCAAAGAATGTGGCATATTATTTTATAAACCTGAATTTAAATATGTAGACTTCTTAAGATTTTTACTTCCAACAAATCAACAGTTAAGAGATTTTATTTCTCATTCAGATTAAAAATTGGAGTCATCAAATGATTGTTTAAAAGAAATAGCAAAACATATTAGCCTAGAAATAGTCTTAATGAATAATTTACTACCTCCAAATTCTTTAGAAAAATTAACAAATGGAACTAGAGAAGAAATTGAATCTTTATTTAAAAAGGAAAGATTATTTGTTTATTAAGATGAAATTGATGCAATAATTAAAAGATTAGACTTTTATGGAGATGGTTAAATTGATTTATTATTGTTAAAAAATTGGATTCTAATCCTAAATTAATAAATTAAATAGAAAAATGAAAAAGAATCCTAATCTGTATTTGTGACTCCAAAAAAAAAAGTTACTATTTAGAATCCTATTAAAACAACTGAAAGAAAAGATTCTCAAATAAAAAAATCAAAAGTTTCTACTCCTAAATAGATAAATTATACGCAAAAATTAAAGGCTCAAAAAAAAATAAAAACTTATGATAATTAAAAATAAGATCTTAGAGGAAGAATGGCTTAAAAGAAATAGGAAGGTGAAACTGAGAAAAAAATGATAAAAGAAGTATAAACTAGTAAAAAGACTGTTAATAATTTATAAAAAATAAAACCAAAATAACCATAAGAAATAATAGAATATCTGTTAGACAAAGAAATTAAAATAGAAAAAGTTAAATAGCAATTAGCATTGTAAAAAGACTTTAATACTCTGGATGCTTTTAGAGCTTTAGATATTTATAACAAAGGATCTATTGGAGTAGAAGAAATAGATATTTTACTTAATTAAAAGCTGGGTTAAAGTCAACAAATATTTACTAGATTTAAGAGTGACTAATTGACTTATCATGATTTTTTAAATCTTCTTTAGCCTTATTCTGTTAATTTTGCTGAAATACTCAATACAAGATAACCTTGTGTAGATGCTTATCATAAAAAGATCAGTTAAATATTCAGCATATAAACGATAAGATTATTGATAGATTTATTAAATTTACTACAATAAATACCAGTAAAATTAAATGCAGATATTTAATTATTTAATAAAATAGATGGAATCACAAGAGATAATTTTATTGGAGTATCAGATGTATTAATTGTATTTAAAATAGTTATAACAATATCTATATGAAAGTGGATTAAGATACACACATCATGAAGCAATGCTTCTTATAAATGCATATGATAAAGACAAAGATGGGAGATTATCTCTGGAAGAATTTTTAGATATGTGATTTTTTTAATATATTAATTTTAAATAAATACTAATTTTGAGACGATTCTTTATTTTGACATATAATATGAATAAGTTGATAAATTTAACTTAAAGTGAATGGTAGAGCTATGTATTAATTAGTTTTAAATGATTATTTTATATGTAATTGATTAATTAGTTTGTGTTATTTGGGATTGTTTGTGTAGTTCAATTTAGAATAATTAAAATTTATCTGTTATAAAATGAATCAACTGAAAAAACATATCTCTGTTAAATGCATCAATTTCAACACTTAATCTACAAATACTCGTACAAGGAGTATGTCAAATTAAGTATCTAAGAATTCTACAGACCGTTCTAGATCTGTAAGTAAATTATGTCCAGCCATTAAGTAGAATAATGATATATATAAATTAATAAGGTTACCAGCACCTACAAAAAATTCAGAATCAGTGTCTATGTCAAATTCAAAACCAGTTTCTAAATTAGGAAAAGTGAAAATTGATCTTGGAAATAAAGGGACATCTAGAAGTTAATAATCAACATAAAAATCACGTTCAAACAGTTAAATAAGTAAAGAAGAGAGTTTTCCAAAGATGCTACCTGATTTTGGTAGAATGGAAACCGAATTATTGGATTGTTAAGATTTCATGCTATAATTACCTGAAATTCATTTTCCTACTACTGAAGATTTAATGAAAGAAAGAATAATATTAGCTAATAGAATTGCATATACAGTAAAAACAAAGAAACGTATACCACTAACAACACCAGATTTTTATAAGGTATCGCATCTCTAACCTTAGTAAGGTAGCTCTGTTATGTGATAGGCAAGGGAGCATTTGCAAAAGTTTGTTTGGGAATCCAAATATTAACAGGAGCTAAAGTTGCCATGAAGATTATTGAAAAATCAACACTTAAAACTGAGAGTGCTAAAAAAAGATTATTGTTGGTAATTTCTAATATTCTATTTTAAGGAAATTACTTTAATGAAAACTCTTTCATAATATTAATAGTTTGCTTCTTTATTTGAAGTTTTTGAAACAAAAAAGTAGATTTATATCATAATGGAATATGTTGAAGGTGGAGACTTAATGAAATGGACAAAAGAAAAACCGATACCTGAAGTTTAAGCAAAATCTTTGTTTAGTAAATTAATATTGGCTTTATAAATACTTTAAAGTCATAATATTTTACATAGAGACATTAAATTAGACAATATACTACTTTAAGGAGATTCTATAAAGATTTGTGATTTTGGTGTGAGTAGACAAATTATTAAAGGATAAAAGATTTTAGAATAATGTGGAACTCCAGCTTATTTAGCACCTGAAATAATATCTAGTAAAACTGGATATGAAGGATTTGCAAGTGATATTTGGAGTTCTGGAGTTCTATTATACATTTTATTAGTAGGAAAAGTACCATTTAAAGGAAACAATATGAATGAATTAAATCATAATATTCAAAATGGTTTACTCAATTTTATGGAAATGAAAAAATAAAATTTATCAAATGATGCTGTTGGTAATTCTTTATCAATATTTATATTAGATCTAATCAAAGCTATACTTAATATTAATCCTAAATTGAGAATTACACTTACAGAAATTCTAAATCATCCTTGGTTAAAAGAACTAAATTTAAAATAAAATAAAGTTTCAATTGTATAATCTAATTTGGATTTGAGAGTCATTTCTTAAATTGAATAGTTTGGCTATTAAAGAGAATATATAATAAAAAGCTTATAGAAATAAACACTTTGTCATATCAATGCTATGTATTCCATTTTAACAAGAGTTTAAAAGTGATTAGATACTTTATATATATATTTATAAATATTAGTGATAATTATCGATATCAAGCTGTTGGATTTAAATTAGCTAATTCTGTTTTTAGAGTTTATCGAACTCTTGAAATGAAATCTAAATATACAAATTTATTAACGATACCTTCTTGAATTAATCCTTAATTAAAAACTACTTGATTAATATCATTTAGTTTAATTCCAAAATCCTTCATTTTATCATTGAATCTCTTTAATTCTTTAGAAAATTCAATATCAACTCTTCCTTCTTCTCCTTATAGCTTTGATTTAATATTGTAATATTAAGATGTATTTTCTTATCCTTAATTTATTTCATCGTCAAGATTGTTTTCTGGTTCTTTTGGCTATTTTGCACTTAAAACATATACTCTATCTTTGCTTGATATCACTACATCCATTGGAGGTTTAAGAAATACATAAGGTTTATTATTATTTTTAACTTTCTCTCCTCTATAAAGTCCAATAGGAATCATCTTTTGTTCTGTTAATAAAATTTCAAAAAGTTCTCCAAAGGTTTTTTCTTAATACTTTGGAGGTATATTAATTAAAAATAAATTACTTTATTGTAATTTACTTGCTTAATATAGTTTTTTATGCTAGATATAAATCATAAAGATTATTACTTTTTTATTGACTGAAGCACTTCCTAAAATCATTTAATCAAAAATACTAGTTATAAATGGATTATAATAAGCTTAACATATAAGAGTATCAAGCATTGTGGATATATAAATTTCTCCAGAAGCAAAAGGTTCACTTACAGACCAATCATATTTTTAAACATAATTATTTCTTGAAATCTATAAAAAAGAAATTGTTGAAATTGATGCTAATTCAGTTATTATATTTATGTTTTAGTTTAATAATTTAACAGTTTTATAAATGAATATTGTATCTGCATCAACAATATTTGATATCCCTTCCTCTTAATCTGCAGATTTTTATAAAATAACTAAAGCTGAAGCCTTTTAAATGCATGCTTTTTTTAAATCATCAGTATTAAGTGGAGATCCTTATTGAAAGTAAACTTTTGGAAATTTATTAATTTATAATTAAATTTCTGTTGGTATCAAATCTTAATTCAATATAACTATTGGCTATATATTTTTTAATGATCTAGCTCTTAAAGGCATCATTAAGTACTTCATATCTGAAACTACTCCACATACAATAAAGTGATTTTCAAATTTTTCTTGATCCCCAACTTTTGGAAGACCTGTTGTTATAGTTTAAGGTTTGACTTAATAGTAGGCAGGATGTTTGGAAGTATCTTCTTTAAGACCTTCACTTAAAATTTCCTTTAAGTATTCTGCCTCTTATTAGAGTGCATTTTTATTAATTTATTGTCTCTATACATTAGGAAAACAGTAATTCTTTTAAATATATTCAGGGAATTTAGTTTATTAAACTTAATCTATATTAGGCATTTCACTTGCTATCACATATCCATAATGTAAATAATCTTCAAATAGATATTCAGCTGGATTAACAAATACACTAGTTCCTGATTCTAATTCTACTTCAAGAGCAAATAAGATTATATTTAACTCTTTATATATTGCTTATGAAATCTATATGATTTAAATATAAAATTACTTAGCTAAAAGTTAAGCCTACAAAAGCTTCAGACTCTAATGGAACCCTATATATTTCATTTTACATTCCACATAAATAATCATCTATCCATTCTTCCTTATTTTTATCATATTTAGATGTATCATAGGATGGCTTAGATGATTAGATTAAAAATGATATAAGAGTATTTATTCCTGGACATAAACATGTTTTTCCTAAAAGATAAAGTTTAAGTTCATCAACACAAATAACTTAATCTGTCTCATGACCACCAAGTGAATTAAAGTATAAATCTTTACTTGATGGTTATAAAACTTATAAACATACTCTTACGCCTCGTCTTGATTTTTATTTTTTCGCAAATTATTTTACTGCAAATGCATGTATTATATTTCGATAATCATCTCTTTTTGGTGTTCTACTTGTTTTATTTGCTAAAACAATTACACAATTGCAGTCTTTTGAACTACATCTTTCTAGATCTTTATTTTATAAAGGATGTCCTTCTAAATAGATTACTCTAGATTATAATGCTGGTTATTTTAATTAGAGAGTCATTTCTTCAGTTGGTGCATAAGGTTAAAGAATAACTGTATTTGTATCATTCATTCCATGATCACTATGATAAAGCTCATTTAAGAATGTTTTAAATCCTTCTACTTAAGAAGATCCTAACAAAAGTATATGTTCGCTTTCTTTTTTTGAAATGTATTTATTTCTAGCATATTGACTTCTTAAACTGTATACTCTTGTTAACATTTCTACTTGAGTTGGCAAAACCAAAAACATTATCAAGATTGCTACAATAATTGAAAATCTTCCATAAATGGTTGTAGGATAAACATCTCCAAATCCTACTGTTGAAATTGTTACAACCATAAAATAGATATATTCAACAATAGAGTAATCTTATTCAACTACATAAAGTATAGAAGAATTTATCATGATAATTGCCATGACAGTTACAATTGGTTTGTATGCCAACCTAAATACTCTAAATTAAATAAATTAAATACCTTCCATCGATAATCTCTATAATACTTTATCTAATTTGTAACATAATAAGAATCGTAGTACTCTTAATAAATATATGTATTTGTAACCAGTTATTATATTCAATCTTGCAAGCAATGATGGAAATATTGAAACATATTCAATTAATGAAGTTGTTTAGAAAGTAAAAAACAATTTATTTTCTGAAAGGTAGAAATTAATTACGAAATCAAGAAGGAAATAGATATAGCATATCAATTCTGGCATCTAAAAACTTTTAATGTGATTCAAATTACTGTAATAAATGCTTATGCTTCTCCAACATCATATGTTCCACCTTATACCCAAAATGAACAATCAATTAGATGCAATATTGTTAATAAAAAACTCAATAGCACATTTATTCCATCTAAATAATCTCCAATTCCAGATGTTGATAAGTATTTTGCCATTCTTAATGTGAATGTCGTTTTACCTTCTTCGTGTTTTTTTGTAGTTGCATCATCTTCAGAATTAACCAATCGGATTAATGCATACTAATCTTAATGGCTGAATATAGATTATTTGCCTTCATAGATCATTATTAAAATAATTCAGATTGGTATTCATTAAATTAAATTTAAATCCAAATGATCATTGAAGAGAGTGAATTTGATAAACAAATAAATGATCTCTTGAATAAAGAAAAGACAGCTCGTTTAGCAAATAATCTAGTTGAAACACTAAAAGTGACTAAATAAATTGGCAGATTGTGTTTTGATACAAAATAATACTCAAAATTTAATGAATTGATAGTATCACTTAGTAAAAAGAGAGGATAACCAAAAAAAGCATAAATCGAACTTGTTTAAATGGCAATGATAGAATTAAAAACACTTCCAATAAATCAAAAATTAGAAATGATTGATGCTATAATGAAAGTATGTGAAAAGAAGATTTACTTAGAAGTTGAGTATGCACGTTGTGTTTTAATGCTTACTCAATATAAGGAAGATGATAATTAAATTGCTGATGCTGCTAAAATTTTGTAAGAAGTTTAAGTTGAAACATATGGATCTATGGATAAACGAGAAAAATTAGAATTTATATTATATCAAATGAAAATCATGATTAAAAAACTAGATTATGTGAGATTGTTCATTATTTCAAAAAAGATAGAACCAAAAAATATTGAAGATGAAAATATTGCAGATCTCAAGATTATTTATTATTCATTCTTAGTTATTTACTATAGACATGAGAATAATTATTAAGAGACTGCACATGCTTATTCAAAAATACTTGAATCATTGCATAAAAATAGATAATTAGAGGCTACAAAAGTTGATTTTAATTTTAAAATTGATTATAATACAATTCTAGAAAATTATACCCTTTACACTATCTTAAGTTAATATTCTGATGAAAAGGTATCTTAATTTATATAATAATAAATTAGTAAAAATCATTATAGAAAATTGTATCAACTTATAAATATGGACTTGAGGCATTACCTAATCTTTTATAATTGATTTAAGCCTTTTTAGGAACAGAGCTAATTAGCACTGAACCATAAACTCATAATATTCAAGCAGCTGAGATTTTTGATGAGAGTTTAGAAAATAATCAATAACGATATAAAGGTAAAGAGATACTTATAATTTTTAGATTTTAGAAGATAATTGATCCATCATAATTTAAGAGTATTTTAAATTTATTATGATTCTGTTTATTTAAATAGAATTACAGAATTAATTGGTATTAATACATAAGAATTGGAAGAAGAAATTTGTATAATGATGGATTAAAAAGTATAATATTGTGATAAAATAAAAGTTGCTAAAATGTAAGATTGATCGAATAAAGGGAATAGTAGATTATTAGTTAAAGAAAAATGAAAATGATGTTCTTTAAGAGTGGGGTGATAATGTAAATAAGGTTTTAAATTTGATTGATTTAACAAGCAATTTGATAAAAAGGGAAGAAGAATTATTTTTATGAGCAAAATCAATCAATATACAAATTCGAATTTTTATTATTAAAATAATTTATAAGCATGTATTCAGAAGATAGAGATGATTCTTAATACACTGGAAATAATGTAGATTACAACGAAGATGATTAAGGGGAGGGTTAAGATGTTGATATGGAAGGATAATAATATTATGATGATGAGGATTAAGATTTGTAACAGTAAGATGATTATTAAGAATATTAACCAGAAGAATAGTAAGATGATTAATAAAGTAATTAAATATAATAAGAAGGCTTTAAATATTAACCATTAGATTAAAGAAAATGGTAATGGGCAGAACCATTAATTGAAGGAGTTCCTCCATGTGCGAGGGGTGGCCATTCTGCAACATTGAGTGGAGCTTCAATTATCTTATTTGGAGGACATTACTACGCAAATAAAGATGAAGGATACAAATACTTAAATGATACATATTAAATGGATGTAAATGCAAATAGATGGTTTAAAGCAAAAGTTTAAGGTACTCCACCTGCTCCAAGATATGCTCATTCTGCAGTTTTAGCAGGATAAAGAATAATCATTTTTGGAGGAAAAGGAGAAAAATGTGTATTTAGAGATTTACATGCACTTGATCCATTAACTTTAACCTGGTATTAGGGACCTGAAGGATCTGGTTCTCCTAGTGCTAGATTTGCCCATTCAGCTACATTAGTAATTTTTATTATAATTATAATAATAGTATGCATCAACTAAAATGATAATTTTTGGAGGTTGGAATGGAATTGATTATTTTAATGATCTATATGTTTTAGATTTAGAAGTAATGGCCTGGTCTTAACCTGCTTGTACAGGTCCATCTCCAACTCCTCGTTAAGGACATACAGCTATATAAGTTGGTGCAAATTTAATCATTTAAGGAGGATTTTATTATCAAGAAGATAAAAATCTTAAGAATCTTCATAAAACTGCTAATCCTAGACATGGATCTCATTTAAGAGGATGTTATTTAAATGATATTAGAATTCTTGATACAGAACATTTTGCATGGAGTAGACTTAGAGTAAGTGGTACACCACCTGCTCCAAGATATGGACATTCAGCAAATGTAAGTGGAGCAGATATTGTTGTTTTTGGAGGATGGTCATTAAATTCTGGAGCTAGAAGGTATTCTTATTAAATAGTTTTAGTGAAAATAATTTTGTCACTCCACCAGATATTGATTATTTAATTGTTTTGAATACTGAAAAAATGTGTTGGGAAAAAGCTAAATATGAAGGAAATGCTCCTAGAAATAGATATGGTCATACTGCTACTTCTATTGGTCCACATATTTTAATTTTTGGAGGATGGGAATATAATAGAGCTACAAATTAAGTTGTTGTTTTAAGAGATCTTAATGTTGGATAATAATAATAATAATAATAATAATAAGAAAAGAAAAAATGATATTTATTAATTAATCAATTTAAAAATAGATCTATTTCATAATAATTTATTTCAATTTATTAATATAATATTTAATTTTTTCAAGGCTTTAAAGCTTGAATTGCTTTATTTAGGATTTCAGATTGTAATTTAGGAAATGCTGGATTTATTTTAAGAATCAATTTACAAATGTTAATGGCATCAACGAAACGCTTATTATATATTTTTAATTATTACCTTAGCTTTAAGATAATTGAATGCTAATCTGTAACCCATAATAGGATTTCTTTAATTTGTCAACTTAAATGCTTTTTCATATGAATTAGATGCATCAATATATGATTATTCTTTTTCCTTAATCAAACCCATTAATTCTTCGGCTTTAGCGCAACATTTGTTCTACTTCAAGCATTTTCTTAGAATTTCTTCAGCTTAATCATATTTTTAAATAGATATAAATGCATCAGCATGTAATAACCATGCCCTTTCTAATTCATCTCTTTCCCAACCACTATTATCAGCCTGTTTAGCCCATAATAATTTCAAAATAGTTTTTCCTTCAGTTTGTTTCTTACTTAAGAATTTATTAATTGCTAAACTTAACATTGCTGGGGACCATTCTCTATTACTTTTTAATAACTAACCCAAAATACCATTTGCCATTTCAATGGATTTTGGATTTCCTGACAATTAAAGTACTTAAGCCTACATTACCAAATATCTTGACATGCTTCCTCTATTTTAGAGTTCTTTTAGAAGTTAATCACAAGCCTTTAAATTCTCAACAGCAACTGGTTTTGGTTATTCATCTGTTATTGAATAATAAAGATCTTAATCTGGATTCAAATATAAATCTATCATATAAGTTAAACTATCTTCAGCATATTATTAATGTTTCTTAGCATAATTAAATTATATTAATGCTTCTTTTGGTAAATTTTTATATTTATAATATAATCCTCTACAAAAACATAATCCTGGTTCATTTTAGTTTTATGTAGCCTTAGCACAATTATCAATTATAACTTAAATTTCATCCAATCTATTTTATTTTCTATACCAATCTATTACTTTAGATAAAGTTCCAAAAGAATTAGGTTTCTCTTGTAATGTTTAAACAAATTATTATATTGATTTTTCACTGTCATCTTACTATAGAACAAGTTCTGATAACATCATAGATGCATAATCATTTTTTGGGTTTAATTTTTATAAAATTTTTAATTTTTATTCGCATGAAATCTTGTCTCCATTTTAGTAAAATGTCTCTGCTTATAACTAAATTAAACTTTCATTTGTAGGTATATATTTAATACCATCTTCAATACAATCTAAAGTTGCCTTATAATTTCTTTCATTATTAAAAAAATATCTAGCCTATTCCAAAAATATTAAACCTAACTATTCTTTTTCTTTATTAACATTTGCAGCTTCTTATTTACTTTTTTCTATAACATCTTTTTATGTTGAAACAGCATATTCAAATGCTTTTCTAATTTTTTCAATTTATTTTTATGATTCAGCCATTAATTATTATTATATCTTTTCTTTTTCTGCATTCTATGCTTAATTAAATGTTGCTTATTATAATTTAGTAATCATTCTTGCAATTAATAGAAAACCTTAAGCATTTGCTCTTAATGTTGTTAATGAAGGTGCAGCATAATCATCAGTCAAAAACTTTTCCCAAACCAATATTTATTCTGCTTTTTAAATATTATTCATTCTCAAATACAATCTACCTAAATCTACTAATAAATCTTATCTTCCTGGAGTTTTTAACAATGCTGCCTCATAATAATTAACTGCCTTCTAATAATCATATGTCATAGTAAGTGCATTACCAATAGTTCTAGTTATTTCTTCATCTTCTGGATATAATTCTGCAGCTTTTTAATAACTTAAAACTGCTTCTTATGGTTCATTTATTTTCATAAATGCTTCTCCAATTAATTTATAATTTTCTGCTGTTGGTTCTGCTTCTATTATCTCAGCATAACATTTTGTATAATTTCTACGATCCTTCAAATATTTCAAATAAACATCTGCTAAAATCATTCTTGAATTAACAAAATTTGGTTATCCACTCTAAACTGCTTTAAGTATATTTATTGCTTTCTTGATATCTCCACTTTCTATTGCTATTTCACTATTAGCCATCATTATTGTGCTTTCATGGGGACTTCCAGCATATTCCTATATTGCTTTTTACATAATTCTTTTTGCTTCAACTTCTTTTTTATTTACTGCATAAACTTTAGCTAATAAAACAAAAACTTGGCATTTATCTTTTTCTGTAAATTATACAATTTTGGATTTAACTTTAATTTTATTTTTATATTTTCCTGCAACTAATTCAAAAGCTGCTTCCAATGTAATTTAAGCATTTTTATAATCTTCTGTTCTATACTCAACCTCTCCTTTAACTAACATAAATAAAGGATTTTCTCTGATAGCAAAATTATTAGATATTGCTTAATTCAATGAATTTGCAGCTAAATTAATTTATTTAGTTTTAATAGAAATTAAGGCATGCAATATATAGCCATCTTCATTTTTTGGATCTAATTCTAAGACTCTATTAATAGTTTTCAATGCCTCTTAAGGATCTCCTAAAGCCATCTTACCAGTTGCTAATAATAACTATACATTTGTTAAACCAGGAGCTTATTTTGCTATACTTTCTAATAGTTTAGTTCCCTTTCCAATACCTGAAGTAGTCTATTCTTTACCAGCCAACATTAAATTGGTTGAAAGATTTCTAAGGTACATTTAAGCTATGGTAAATGTAAAATCAGGATTAAATTTAATATAAAATTCATATCCAGGTAATAATTATTTACTCTACGTTAAATGAAGTTTAAGTGTTTCTTCAATAAACTACTAAGCAATAGGAGAATCAGTTCCTTCTGATTTCTTACTCTCTAATAAAGCTTATAAAAAAGCAATTTCAGTAGTTCTACCTACAGACACTTAAACTTCTTATACAAATTCTAATTATTTTTCTGCATCATCAATTACTCCTTATAAAATTTTACATTGAATCATTCCTGCTAATGATTCCGTTCTTCCTTCATCTAAAGCTACTGCTTCTTAAAAATAACCATAAGCTTTTTCATATTCTTCTAACATTAAAGTTTCTTATGCTAATTCTAAACATAAATCCCCTAATAATGGAGCTACTTTTCTCATTTTCTATATTTAACTTATAGTCAATTATAGAATCAATTAATTTCTTCCTGAAACTCTAGATAATAATTAACAACAATTTAAAAGTAATTAAACATTATCTTCTTCTTATTTTTAAATAGCATTAAATAATTCTTCCATTTTTTCAATTGATTCTCTTACATCACCTTTTCTAGCTAAATTATAAAAAGCGATTGCTTTTAATCCAAATATATTTGTTGGATCATCATAAAGTATTTTATTAGCCAAATCTTAAAATTATTCCCAATCTTAAATAAATATACAAAATCTTAATTTCTCAACATCTGTAAATGGGAAATCTCTCCAAACAATCATTAATTCATTTAAAGCATCTAAAATGATTGGATACTTTTTATTGATTTCTGAAGCTTTTGCTAGCCCTAACAAATATTCAATAGGTTTTTAATTGAATTACCCTAATCATAATTTAATATTATTATATACCTCCAATACTTTAAAAATAATCGAGTACTTCAGTTATATTAATTTATTCATCTTTTTATAATAATTTATACCATCCCAAAGTAATTTAACTTATTGGTTGTCCTTATGATAATAATTCTAAAACTTCCTTTGCCTTTCTACCTTCATCTAAGAATAAATAGAAATATATGGCACTCTAAAATGCTCTATCATTTGGAGTCTTTCGACCCTCACTTTACATCTGTCTACAAGTTTCAATTATTTCCTAAATATTAAATTTTCAATTTTTTACTCTATCAACACCACGTTATTACTATGAATAGTATATAAGTGCTGCTGAAGTTGCAAATTAAAATTCTCTTTTATTTCTAATTAATGTCAACTCATTTATTGCTTCATTCAAACTTCCACTTTTGAAATAGCAGAACGCCCTCCAAAATTAAAAGAAAGGATCTTGATTTCTTTGATAAAACTATTTATATTTATCATACATTTTACCTTATGACATAATACTTAAGTTGTTTTCCATAAACCTTCTCTTAGCAAATAAAAAACTTGAGATTATTGAATAAGTAAATCACTATTCATTTATATAAAAAGAAAAAATATAAAATTAAAGCAGTTATTATCAGAGCAATTTAACTAATTATCCTGACTTCCAAATCCCTTTAGTTATCTATTATTAACAACTTTTATGAAATTCTCCTTATCCATGTTAAAGACCTCTTTTCCATTAACCTACATATTTTCGTCCATCTGAATAACAAAATATACCAAATCCATGTTTCTAATCATTCAAATATTAACCATTATAGAAACGTCCATCAGGCCAATTTAACAATCCTTTTCCATTCATTTTACCATACATCCATTCTCCTTAATATACTCTTCCATCTAACCATCTCTAAATAATATTTTTATAATATATTTACATATGTTCCTTTTCCATTAAAATTATCAAATTCAAATTAACCTTCATATGTTTCTCCTTCTATAAATGTTAATTTTCCTTATCCATGTTTTAATCCATTTAAAAAACTACCCACATAAACTGAACCATTTATATACCATTCTATTCCTTATCCATTTGGTAGATCTCTTTCCCAATTACCTTTATTTTATAATATATTTATAATACCTTCATATTTACATCCATTATTATAATTATAAGTACCATTACCATGCATTTTATTTTACTACCATTACCCACGATAATTAGCTCCTTCTTTATTTCGAAATTCACCTTTACCGTGAAAAAATCCTTTTACAAAATCACCTTAATAATATGATGAATCACAAAATGTATATTTACCTTTTCCATCTGGTAATTAATTTAACCATTCTCCATTATATATATTTCCACCAATTAATTTTATTGTATCTAATTTTAGTCTAATATTTTTTTATTATAATTTTATTTTATCATTTGTTTCTAATATTTCGAGAGTTAAGACACATTTAAATTTGAATGAATTTAATTTATTTTTTTGACTTTTTAGAGATCTCAAACTCTTGTCTGGAGATTAAACACTTATTTTTTCTGGGGATTGGGCTTGACGATCTAAATCTTCAAAATCAAACGAATCAGATTCTTTTGGTTGTAATTTAAGACTTTATTGGCGACTAAAAAGTGATATAACTGATTGTTTTTTATTATTTATTATGCTTGAAATAGCATTCGATTCATCAAATTAATTTATTTTAGGAGAATATGAGTTAGTATGATATTCAATTTAGAAATCTTCTGTTGAATTACATACAATCTGATTCCTTACTCCTTTTTCTGCTTATTTTAAATTACTAATTTAGTATTTATATTTACTTAAATTTTTATCGAGTTACATATGATCTATATGCAGATTATATTTTAATTGCCATCTAATGATTTTATGGTAATTAATTCATTGTTACATTCTAATTCCTTCCTGATTTTATGTGCTCTTATTTCTATATGCATTGATTACATGAACCCATATAAAAATAATTTAATAATACTAATTTTTTAATGTCTTTCAAAAAATACTCTCTAATTATTTTTCAATTCAATTTTAATCTTTAAGATATACTTTATATTAATTCAAAGAGGTTTATTTTAATTTAATGAATAATTATGCAAAAAATACCATAATTTATAAAAAAAATGAATATCCACTATTAAATAGAATTAAACAATAATTTATATAATTTAAATGATGATATAATAGCCAAATATGATGTTCTGTATTACAGAATTAATGATCTGTTGAGGAGGTATTCTGAGTTAATAATAATTATTTTTACTTGTATTCTTTAATTATTAATATAATTATGGACCCAAGAAAGAAAGTTAAAATGTAATAATATGAAGATGAAGATGAAATGGAAATAGATGAAAGAGATGATTATTAAGAAGATATGTAATTTAGAGAATAAAATAATGAATTATTTGATGAAAGACAATTAAGGGAAATGATAGGTCAATTAGAAAATAATTACAAATTAAATTCTGATTTGAGAATGAGATATCCTAATTAACCTGATAAATTTATAGATTCTGAAGTTGATTTAGATGAAGATCTAAGAAAACTCTTAATTTTACCTGCATATCCTAAATTATATCCAATCTTTTACAATAGTAATGCTCTTCAAATAGTGATTCACTTATTATAACATAATAATCAATCTATATCAAATGATGTAATTCAATTTTTGAAAGAATTAGTCACTCCTGATGGAGATGTAGAACCTAAAATAATTATTGAATTATATAATTGTCTAATCAAAAACTATTTTATTGAATCCTTGGGAGAATTGATATTAAGGAATGATGAAAAAACTTAAGAAGAAGTAAATTTATTACATGATTGTTTTGAAGTAATTGAAAATATGGTGGACATCAAGTCATCAATATGTAAAGAAATTGGTTTTAGATCTAAAATCATATAATATTTGATTAAAAGAGTTGAAGATAACAGTCAAACTTTAGATGATAATAGATTATATGCTTCTGAATTGTTAGTTATACTTACTCAGTAAACTAAAGAGAATTTAGAAATTATTGGTAGAAGTGGAGGTATTGAAAGTTTATTAATGGTGTTGAATTAATATAAAAAGAAAGATCCTGAAACTGCAGAAGAGAAGGAAATATTAAATAATGTTTATGATTTGCTTACATTACTTTTAATTCATGAAGAAAATTAAGATTATTTTCAAACTTATGAAGGTTTATAATTAATGATCAAAATCATTTAAGGAAAAACTTCTTCATCAATAAGAGCTTATAGCTTAATTCTATTGGCAATTAATAATCATAAAGAAAATTGTTAGAAATTAATTTAAATTGGAGGATTATCAATTATATTTCCTATATTAGAAAGAAAAGGATTAAAACATAAAGATTAAAATAAACAATTTGAAATCGATGAAACGAGTGTTTAAATTATTAAATAATTGCTTAGAAGGAATTCTGATCTCACCTTAAAATAAAGAATTATTGATAAAAGTGTAGAAAAATTGGAGAGTCTTAAGAAACTAAGAAATGAGTATGTTAATATAATACCTTTGATAGACCCTGAAGAATATGACGAATTAGATGAAAAATAATTACAAAAAATCTATTTTGATTTGTTGGGAAAAGGATTGATAGTTATAGAATCAATTGATATCATCTTATTAGAACTACTTAATAATGGTGTTGATGTGAATATAGATTCTTAAGAAATTGTAAGTTCTGTAAAGCAAATGCTTAAGTATACTGGAGAAAAAGAAGATATTGATTACTATAATCCTCTTCTTTAGAAAATAGAAGTAAATCAATAATGATTAATTATAAATTGTTTTTTATTAATAAATATATTAAAATTATGTAACAGGAAAGCATATATAACTTGATTCCTAAAGAATATGTACCTCCTCCAAAAGAACCGATGTATAGATCGGCATATCCAAGTGGATTGACACCAACTGGCAGCACATTCAATAATCATACTACTAGTCGACCAAAAGTAGTTGTATTATTTTATTCAGGTTAATAATATCAACGGAGATTTTGATTTAGTCAGAGGTCCACATACTCATAAGGGATAATCGAATTCTCTTGGAAGACCTAGGGGTAATTTGAGTTTGAATTTTCATAGGATCATACAAACCTGATTCTACTATGTTCAGATTGAAAAATACTGGAACAATGGGATCAAATTAATTGCCCGAAGGTAATTATAAATAATCATAAAATAGTTAAATAATATAAGTATCCTCCTTCAGTCAGACCTCCTGTACCTAAAAAAGATGAAAAACCTATTCATGGACTTAAATCTAATAAAAATTACATAGTGACTAATGCAGTTGAAAATATCCTAAGTGCTCCAAAATAAATTGTAGATGAAAAACCATGGACTGAAAAAAAAGATTTTGGTAAGGTACCTGATTATCTTACAAAAATTTAATAAAGCATTTCAAGTGAATATGAAATTATTAGAAATATGCATATAAGTGAAGCTGAAGAAATGGACAAATAAAAATATTTAATGACTTAAGAAGAAGTTGTTTAATTAAAATAAGGATTAAAAAAGAAATGGGAATCTGTTAATAAAGAATATTAATCAATTACGCATATAAGAATGATAGATACTGTTGGATTAAAGAGAAAGTATTAAATAAATATTATTCTTATAGGAAAGAATAATGTGAGAAAGAGTTAGCATAATTGGAAAAAGATATTGAAAAATTAAATAAAAATTATGTCTTTGTTGACACATAAAAATGATGATCATTCCAAAATATATATATATATAATAATATTGAACTTATGCGCTTTTATTAATCTAAAAATATTGGAATACATCAACTTATTCAATTTTTAAAAGAAAAAGCATTAATTTGTTTAGATATAAATGCTTCATTATTTTGTAGAATGTAATAGTGAAGAATTAACAGATAAAGATGGTGGTAGAAATGGATATCTAATTGGATTATTTAATAGAACATTGCAATTTCTTGAAAACATGTATAAGTATTAACGGAAAACTTCCTAAAATAAAAAGTGGTGAGTTAGCTAAAAGAAAGTAATTAATGAGGTTTAAGCTAAAACAGATATAGTTTAAGAATAAGGTGATATATAATAGACCTCACTTCAAAAATAAAGAATAACTATAATCACAAGTATAAAAAATTAGATGCTCTTAAAATGTTAAAATTAATGGAATTTCCTGTTATTATAGCACCATGTGAAGCAAAAGCTTTAATATGCTAAATTAGGTAAAGCATGTAAAATTTATACTTCAAACAATTGAAGGTATGAATGCTTTTATTTCAAAACTTCAATATATATTAGTTAGTTCAATATTTAAAAAAAAACCTAATTATGAAATTATATTAGATTATACGATTAAGGATTAAATTAATTTATGAATAATTTGTAGATCTATGCATTCTAGTACAAAATTCTTTTAATTACTACTTAGAATGGAATGTTATTTTTAATTATTACTTAGTATGGAATATTATATATCTTGAAAAATTGAAAATATTGGACATGGAACCGTTTATAAACTTATCAAAAAATTAAAAAATATGAGGGAAAGTGATGAAAAAAATTTAAATTAACAAATCCTAAATATAAAGTTTCCACTAAACTGTTGAATTAAGACTGTAGAGAATATTAGTTTATAAAAGAAGAAGAAATATGATCAAGATCATCATATGTTATTTAGATTAACATGGAATAAACAAGATGTTGAAAACTTTATTTTAGATGTTGAGCTACATTGTTTTGCATTTTCGATTTGATTTACTATAGTATTTTTGAATTGAAAAGTGTGTTAAAAAACTTGATATATAATTAAATCTTATAACTAATAATACTCAGTATTAAAATTTTTTTCCATGTCATTTTGGTTAGAAAATAGATATTAAAAGTAAAATAAATAAAAAAATATAAGAAACAAAATCTTTTATAATAATTTGATTTTATAATTCATTCATTTCTTTCCTATTCTCTTACAGCTCCTTTCTAAAAGAATAATTCATTCAATGTGTGGCCTTGATTATCCATTATTTCAGCCTCAAATAAGAAGCATTATTCTGCCTGAACGAATTCTAGAAATGGTTATGTTCTCCAACATATTGGATAATTAACTTCTATATCAGAATTGATATTTTAGTCTTAATCTTATTAATAATTGTCTAAATCTGATTATTGACTGTCTAAATTTTATTATTGATTGTCTAAATATTATTATTGATTGTCTGAATCTAATTATTGATTATCTAAATATTATTATTGATTGTCATAATCTAATTATTAAATATCAACTTCTATTTCACTACTGAATAGTTAGTTTAAAAAATTTTATCTATTATTTCTTGTTCTTTAATTCGAATTCTCACGACTCATTTAATTTTTTATTTTTTCTGTCTCCTCTAATTCACTCTATTATTTTAGCAATTAATTTAAGCATAGTTTGCATTTTGAAAATTTATAAATATGCATTCTATCGGTAATTACAGCTAACCATAGATTATCAGGAGATAAATCAATGAAAGAAACCTCGGTAGTGCTAGTTTTAATCAAAAATAATTGTATTTTCATCCTAACATTCCAAAATCGAACTGTGCCATCATCATGTCCAGAAATAAGTATTTCTTCTTCATTTGAAAATTTTAGACTTTTTATCTGAGAGTAATTTTGATATTTTATAAATTTGCTTTTTAGGTCTTTTAAAACAATAATTTCCATATCTTTTTTATAAGAATTAAGACTTGATAAAAAAACACTAGATTTTGAAAAGCAATGATGTTTATAACCAAATTCACCAAATTATTTAATTAAAGACAATTTTTATAGATCCCATAATTAAAATTCACGATTGACAATGTCTTCTAATAATAAATATTTTAAATCCTCAGAAACTGAAAAATAATGACTATCAATTCTTAATTAAGATGCACTAGTAAAATCAATTGCTCCTTCCAGTTTTGTAAGATAATATTTTTAGGTAGATTTATTACTTTCTTTTTTTAGAATAATTAAATAGTTTTAATTATAAGAAATCAAATTGATTTCAAATTAGCTATTTTTTTCTATTAATTATACTTAATTTTAATCTTCAAATAATAAATCAGAATGATTAATCTTTTTTAGTATTTTACAGTCATACAATACAGGAAGATAATAAATATTATGATCCAAAATCACAAATAATAATCTACTATCATTACTAAAACAAGGTGCTATTTCTGAATTTGGAATGTCTGATTAAAACTTTTTATATTCTTCATATATGAAATACAAAGAAAAATAGTAAACATTTTCTTTTTTATACTTAGTATTAGTTACACATAATTTCTAATTATCAGGTGATATAATAACTTATTTTATAATACAAAAAGAATTCAAGCTTAGCTCTTTAACCATTTCAAAATTAGTAAGTTTCCAAATTTTAATATCAGAAGCATAAATTTAAATAAGATGAGTTCCATCTTTTGAGACTTAATGTTTAACACAATTTTGGGAATCTAGAGATTTAATCAGAAGACGATTGTTAAAAGATTCTCTTTACCAAAAGTCTATTTGTTAAGAATTTCTAATTATAAAATAATTTGAAGTAAAATCGATTTATAGAATATTTATTTCTTCCCATATATTCATTAATGTTTAGGTTTCTATATTTATAAATTCAATTCTTTCTTTAAATCCGATAGCTATGACACTATCATCCATTGAAAAAGATACATCTAAAATTTTATTTTAGTTTATTTAATAGTTAAATATTATTCTATACATTTCAGGTAAAGAATAAATCGTAATAGAGGAATATTTGTCATCCCAAACACAAATTTTTGTTTCTGAGTTAGATTGTTTAAAATTTGATTCTATTTATAACCATTTTCCTTATTTTAAATTATTTTGATTATTTTTAATACAAATTGCCCAACTTTCTGAACCAGTCACAAATAAATATTCTTTTGTTAATTTACAATACTCTAAATCGAGCTCTTTGTTAAAGTTTATATTTAAAGTACTTATTATTTTAAACTATGAATCATAAACTACGTATCCCCTTTTTTCTTTGCATAAAACAAGAGTTCTATCTAAAGAAAATAATAATATAGAATAGTCATTATTTAACTATTCTATATGATTTTCATAAATATTTAAAATATTTTATCCTTTATTAGTTTTATAAAATAATGTTTAACTATCAAGGGAAAAATTACAATAATTAATAATTTCTTTATCTAAATTACGATTAATATTGTTCTATTTATAAGTTTTGATATTGAAGACTTTTATAATTGAATTATCTTAACATGATAATAAAGTATCTGTATCATTAGATAAATAAAGATTTTTTACTTCAAGTTGTAAAGTATTTAAGTGGATATTTGAGGATATGTCATATATTTTAATTTTTTATTAATCAAACATAACTAAATAATTTTACTATATGGAGAAACCTTCTATTCCATTAAAAGTCTAAGTTGGTGAATTCAAATTTTACTTGCTAAATAAAAATAAATCCTATCTATTACAAAGAACAATATGGACATCATCAGAAACCCATTAACATCCATACACAAATGGATCATCAATAACAGCTTTTTTTAAATCTAGAGGATTAAATAATTTTTCATCTTTCGAGGAGGATAATAGTGTGAATTATTTGTTGAATATATGTCGTCCCTAGTATTCATCTTGTATAAATATCTCTCCTTTTTTATTAAAACAAATTCCATTTATATTTCTTATCTTTAAATGATAACTTGAAATAAATTCCACTCTAGATTAATCAAAATTAGTTAAGGTCAAGAAACTGTCTTCGCTTAGAGCTATAGTTTTTCCATTTGAATTTAAAGCAATATTTTCATAACTCTAAATTAAAGAGCTAAATTCTAATTCTTTCTAATTTTGCTTATTACTTTTCCATATTTAAATGACATCATATAACAATATTGCAATAGAGTTGTTTTAAAGAAAATAACTGTCTTGAATACCAACAACTTTAATGAAATATTTTTATGTAGAATACATATCTTCTATATCAATTAATATTATTTAACTTTCTTGAACTCCCATCAAATATTTATTATCAATAGAAAATTTTAGCTTTTTGCAAAATTTTAATTCTTCAATTTAGATTTCATTCACTTTTTCTAATTAACCTAATTAATAAAATTAAAGGTTATCATCGACTAAAGTTACAAATAATTAATCACTAATAGCAAAGGTGTTAAATTAAAAAACTTTTAAATTATCTTAAGTGCTCATAATAAACTCTGAAAGGTTATTTATTATAAACTCTCTATTTTCAAGTTAAAAAATACTTACAAATGAATTAGTTGATAAGGCTAATCTAGCAATCCCCTATGTGCTTGATATTCTTTCAAAATAATATAATGGAAAACAATTTTCATTTTTTAAATTCCTTGTATTAAAAATATATAAAGATGAAGACTTATTATTTATGCAAGCTAAATAATCTCCATTAGATAAAAATTAGATGAAAGTTATACATTCTAGATTAATTTAATAAAGTTATTTGACTTTTCCATTTTTAACAGTAGCAAATTCAATAAAAAGAGATGCAAATGCAAATACACCATCTATTGGATGAAAATCACAACAATTTATACCATATAATTTTGTATCTATATATATGTTATTCAGTAAATCATAAATAAGCAACATTCTTTCTTATTTGAGCAAAAAAATGATAAAATCATCTTTTGAAGAAATATGTAGTTCTTGTTGCATGTTTTTATTCCTATTTGGAAATTTATTAATAGAAATAATATTACTTTTATCCTCAATATTCCAAAAAGATGAAGTTTAATTAGAGCATGCTGATAAATATTTATTGTTTTTTGAAAATTTTAAGTCTGTAATTCTTTATGATTCTTCTATGATTGATATTTATTTATTGTAAATTGTATTCCATAACAAAATATTTCCATTTTTTAATCCTATAGCTAAAAAATGACCATCATAAGATAATTAGATTATTTCTATATTATTTTCTACTTTTTTTAATATTTCTTTTTATGTTGAATATTAAATATTATAGACAAAGATTTGATTAGTAAGTGCAATATATATGAGATTACCATCTGGACTAAGAATAAATTATTAAATTTCTGTTTTTATCTTTATTGGCCATTTAGAAGTAGCTTTAATATCTCTAAATAATTCTAACTTTTCAAATTAATACTTTTTGGAATCAAAAGAATCTTTTTAAGGAATTTATTGAATAAAATAATCAAAATTGGGAGAAAAATAAAAAGCTTTAGCATATTTATTAACAGGAATTCTTTTGATTAATTTAATGTTTTTTTTTATAGTAACGTCCCAAAACTAAAAATAGAATTCTTTATCTCTTAAAAATAAAATATTACCATTTTTGGCAAACTCTAATTAGCAAATTTATTAAGCTTCGATATCTTAAATTATATCTTATTGAACAGTATTTAATTCTGAAATTTCTAGCAACTTAAATTTATTTTAGAAAGCTATGGCTAGCCATTTTCCATCAGGTGAATAGCAAAGTTATTCAATTTTGCTTTCTTAATTCAATTATATTTATTCTTAATATTATTTTTTAATATCCCAAAGAAATAAAAAATGTTAACAATTATAACAAAGAAATTATGAATCTATCGTAAACGTTATTGACTATTTCCGATGAGGTCTAGCTAATTCTATTAAATGTTATTTTATTGGATTGTCAACTTAAGTAGTATTTAAAATTATAATTAATTAATTTTACAAAGCTGCTAAATAATTATTATTTATTGAAAATACAATTTTCTCAATCATTTCAGAGTTTTCTTTAAATGTTTTAATTGTTTCCCGATTATTCATATTTAAAAGAATGAGTTCTCCTTCATTTGACCCACAAGCTAATATTTGATTATTACTTGATAAAGTAACATAAATTATTGTTTTTTATGATAGATTAATGTCTGGAATCTCTGAACATATTGTATCATACCATCTAACACAATTTAAGATTGAACAATTAAAGTTGCACGCATCTATTCTAACATTAAGAAATTCAGAACCAGATAAATCACATTTAAATAAATTTAACTGGCCTAAATCTGTATTTTATAAACAAATTCCTTATAAATCTACTCCATCAATTACAACTTATAATTAACTAAGGATATACATTAAGTTAGAAATTAATTAAATACAATTTTTATTAGTTTTTATTTATTGTATTAAGGTGATTAATTTTTTTATTAGAGTTGGTTTATTTTCAATATAGATTTTCATAAGAGTGATTGAACCATAAAATTAGATGTAAGATAAATTAAAATTTTAATTATTAAGTAAACATTCTTTTAAAAGTTGATCTAAATTCTTGGCATTTTAATTTGTGATTTCATTTATGAATCTATATAAATATCTTGCAACAAAATATTCTTAGATTGATTTATGCAAAAAAGAATAAGCACTTCCTTTAGCAATTAATAAAACACAACTTTTTAAGACTTTATTATATTCTTATTCTCCTAAAAGGTTATTAAAATATTAATCTTCCCATTCATTTTCTAGGCCATGATTCTACATCTTTTTAATGCTTAATTTTCCTTTAGGTTTATAATTAATTTAAATTTATTGATACATTGTCATTTCTAATGCAAGAGATTCAGAAAAGTCTTACAAATCTACAAGTAATCCTTCATAATTTTATGCTTTACCAATATCTCTCCATTTTTATAATTATTATTCATGATAAAATTAGACAAAATATTCATAAAAATCAGTAACTTTCATTTTTTTATTCATTTTTAATACTTTTACTACAAAATCAACATTTTCTCCAATTTCAATTTCTATCTTATTATTCAATATTATTTTTGTTTAATTGTACTCCAATTTATCTGACAATGAATAAATTTAAAAAAACTTTTTATCTTCCAAAATTTTAATTATTTAATCAGTTTCCATTTTAATTTATTCTTACATTTCTTCAAAAAAATTATTTTGAGGCCCTTAATTTTATTGAGAATAACTTTTTGAAGCTTCTATTACATCTTTATTTTATTAATTTTGTTTCAGTTAAAATTATATTGATTTTAACTTATGTAATTTAAATTTCATATAATTTTTTTAAAAAGTATTTAATTGACTCTGATTCTTATATGATTAATTTATCATTCCAGGAAGAACTTAAACAACAATTGACATCATAAATGGTGTCTACATTAATTCCTGTCTTTATAAATTCTCAATTGTTTTTTTAAATTTCTAATAATTCCATAGTTCACTTAAATCTTTTCTTAAAACTTCATATAGCTCTTCACTAATTTACTAGAAACAAGGTTCCATTTTTAAAATTTCTATAATTTTTTCTATTTGCATCTTTTGTAAAATAGAATCTTAATCATCAACTATTAATTTCTACATTACTTTTTAGTTTAATTTTTCCCATATTTTCAATAATTCATCTATATTAGATAACTATCCTTAAAGTAACTTCGCTTATTCATAAAAAATTTTCACCATTCTTTTGACAGTTAATTAACAATATTCTTTAATATATTAATCCCTTTATTCATCCTCAAAAGGTTATATCTCAACTTCTTTTAAATATTTTAAATGTTCTCCTTAAAACTATTTTTGATATCCTTTATAAGTCAATATTTCATTTCTTGTAGTTATAATTATTTTTATTTTCTTTCCTGGTTCCATAATATTGAATTCAGATTTTAATTTATTAGTCGTATATAAGTTTTCTTGAATAAATTTTTATTTCATTTCGTCATAGCTATCCAAAATAAAAACACAATTTAAAGTACCGTTACATATAGATTCTTTAAATTCTTTAATTTAATTATTATCAAATTAATAATATTCAGAGCTTAAAGCTTCTGCTATTAAATTATGTATAGGATCTTTTAATCCTGGTAAAGATATATAAATAGGAGTCCAATGAGGTTTTACTTTTTCTTTTATGTACCAAAGTACTTCTTCAATTTTTGTTGCAGCTCTACTTTTACCTGAACCAGCTTAACCTCTCAATAATAATACATCTTTGTCTTTGTTTTTATCAAACCATAAAAATTCATTAATTTCAGGATCATAATCCTCTGTCTTTTCTGATAAGAGAGTTGAAAATGATTTTTAATTTTGAGTTGGAATTTCATCTCCAGTTTCAGGATTATATTCTTTTGTAATTAATTCTATATATATAGAATCAAAAGAGTAAGTTTTCCGCTATGCTATAATTCTTTTTTATCTTATTTTTAATAATTCATAAAATTTTTTACCTCTTAGTTTTCTTAAATCATTACCGATTATTTATATAGTATCTTACAACTTTTCTATACTGCTTTTTATTTATTTTAAATCTTTAACAATTTCTTTAAGGAAAATTAAACTTAAATCAAGTTTATTAGACATTTCACTTATATTATCAAAACTTTCTTCAAATTTTAAAAATTCTTAGTTTAATTATTTTTCTAACTATTCTCCTTCTACTGATTTACCTTCCAATCTAATTTATTATTCTAACTATTCTATTTATTAGATTTTTATTTTGAATTCATTTTCAACTTAATTAGAAAACTATTGAATGTCAACAGAAAATATTTTCTTCTGAGTTTCAATCATCTCTTTATTTTTAAGTAATTGTCTAACATTAGCATTCTTTTCTGAAATCCACATCTCTTTTATTAATTATTAACAAAATAAAATAATCCTCTTCTCCTAAACCTTTGATTGTATCTTTTCTAAATTATATAATAAGCATTCCCTTACTTTATATGATTAACTTTTAAATCTATCAAAAATTTAATTTTTGATCTTATCGAAAAATGAATTTTTTATCTTAACTTTACTAACATTTTCTAATTCATCTAGTATAAATTAAAAAGAACTATCTATTTTTATTTTTGTTGTTAACATTTCATTTTTTATATCTATGTTACAAAGTTAACAATCCTAAAAAAGTTCATATATTTTAACCTTTTAATAATTTTTTTCCTCATTTTAATCAAATTTATTCAAATATATTATATTAAACTTTTTATCTTAAAAAATAGTATATTCCTTTTGCTCTTCTTGATTTATAATTTTGTTGAAATCATTAAAATAGCATTCAAACATAGATTCTATCTGTATTTTGTTTATATTATTTTATTCTTTTTTCGCTAATTATATTTCATCTTTATATTTTATATATTTTTTCATTTGATTTTTCAAATCGTTCAGTTTTTATTCAGCATCTTTACATAAAATATCAATATTCAACTTTTTCTTATTCAATTTATTTCTTTCTATTTATTATTTTTCCAATGATTTTTATTATGATGTTAAACAATTACTAATTTACTTTGAGATCTCATCAAAATCTTCCTTGACAAAATTTTAAGAGATTTTAACTTTTAATAATTTAATCTCAATATCTTTCAAAGATGATATGTATTTATTTACATTTTCATCATTTTAACCATAGTTTTACTAGATTATAATTTATTCCTGACCAATCTGTTGTATTAAAATCTCTAAAGACTTTGATATTTTTGAGCTTTCCTTTTCATTAGTTTAGCTATTAAATAATTGTTTAAGTTGAGGTGACTATAGTAAATTTTGCAGAGTTTAAATAACTTCTTTTTAAAATATCTCCATTTTATTCTATACAACATGATTATTTCTATCTTCATTAATATTTAAAGAGTTTATTGCTCCTTGAAATAATGTTAATTAAAATATATGAAGTTTTAATAGTTTTTTAAATGCACTTTTTAAAAAATGGAATAATTTAAATTTGCCTGATATATCTTCAATAATTTTCTCATCTCCTTAAGCTAACTGATTAATTATTTCTTTTTTTTCATCTATCTATTAAATATAAAATTCGAGAATATTATCCTTATAAAACTTTTATATTAATTCTATAAATTCTTTGTTATTGAAATGATAATTGTTGAAATTATTAAATTCTAAATTATTTTTTAACTCTAATGCATCTTTTTTTAGGTTTTAAATTTCACTGATTACCTTTGTAAGGCTATTTGCAATTTCTAATTTATCTTTTTCTTCTTATTTAAAAAAACAAATATCCTAAAACTATATCTTAGTTTCATTACTTCGATATTCAGTTATTTAATTTTCATTTTCACAAATCTCTTTCATTAATTCAGCCTAAGATTAAATAATATTTTTAAATATCTTTCTAATATCATAATTAATGAATATTTTAAGTTTATCATAATTATTACTGAATTATTCAATTTATTTTTAATATTTCTTTTAACTTTCTTAAGATGAATCATTTATTAGCTTTAAAAATTCATCTATTCTTAAAACTTCTAAATTCAGTCCTTAATCTATTAAAAATAATAAATAAACTATCTATTAAAATCCTCTCAAACATTATCGTAATAATTATTTAATATTATCTATTTCCATATTTATTAATAACACTGTAGAGTTTGAATTGGATTATAAAACTTAAAATGAATCCTATTTATCTTAATAACTTTAGATCATCTATTTTTTGTACATCTCATAGAGTTATATAAATAACTTAATTTTTATCATCATTTTATTACAAAATAAAGTTTGAATAAATTCATCAAAATAGTTTTTAGGTTTGTTATTTTGTTTGAATTCGAAATTCAGATAATAATTCCAAAGCATCATTTCTGATTTGTTTGATTAATTATTGTTAATCTATTATTATTCTAAATTTTTTTATAACAGCCATTCTGAAAATTGCTGAAGATGTCTAAATCCTTAAACTTTTAAATTGTTTATCAAATTTTCAGATTTTAAAGCACAATGATCCTAAAATAATGTGATTTTAGCTTCATATTTATTATAAGGCAGCCTAAATATATATTTATCTTCTTATAGATGGTTGTAATCATTTGATATTTCCAATTATTTAATTGGTCTATATGAAAGCAAATCAGAAATCATATTTAACCAACAATAATGGATTGTCCAATCCTCAGAGTTTAAGATATATTAATTATAAACTTTGGATAATTCAATACTCGTTAACTTGACTGATAGTTCTTATTCTAATGTTTTTATGATAGCCCATCTTGTATTTTCAAAATAATAATAGCAAGTGTATCTACTTAATGGATTATCATAATACTAATCATATAAACTTGGCAAAAATTTTTTCCCTGCCGTTACTAATTTAGATATCAATTAATCACTTATTTTCATTGATACAAAACTTGAGAAGAGTTCGTACAATGTGGAAAGTGCAAGTACCTAATCATTAAAATTTGTTCTTAAATGAGACAATACTGTCTTAATCAACTTTATTTCATATTCAATTCCAGTACTCCATACATTCAGCTTTTATTACTCAAACTCTATATTAATTTCTTCAATATAAACTTAAAATTGCATTTTTTTTGATTCTATAAAGACATGTGTTGTAAATTTAATCTAATAGGTAAAAATGATTCGAAATAAATCATTAACAATATGTAATAAATTTAATGCTAAAATTCCAGATTATTTAATATAAATTGGAATTACTTTTAAGAATTGCTCTATTGTATATTCTATTTAGTTATATGCTGTTTAAATTGCTCTATCATCAAAGCATATTGAATTAAAATGCTATTGATTATAAACAAACCATTGAATTGATAATAAGGAATCGTTTAAGTTAAAATTTGATAAATTTTATTAAATAATTCTTTAGGATTATTAATCTAAAAGTGTAAGAAATTAATCTGGAATTTCAATCTTTTTTACAATCTTTTAATCCAACTATGGAACTTTATACCCTTTTGAGTTACAAATTCCGCCTCCTCTCAATTAAACATTATTTTGAATCATTTTTGGAATTCCAATTAGGAATTTAGATTTAGATACCAAGAATTTCTGGGTACTAAAATATGTTTTACATTTCTTTTAAATTTCTAAACTGGCTTGTTAATTCATTTTTTATTTTTAATAATAATATATAAAATACTTAATTCAATTTTCTAGTGCTCTTTTGTAACTCTCCAAAAATGTAATTAAACTACAAAGAATTAATCACTTTTTATTTGACATCTTAAAATTACTTGAAGAATATTTTTCATTGCCAACCCCACAATTTCTAGCTTAAAATTCCCTTTTCTTGAAAAAACTTTTAAAAACTTTGTCGATATTCACTTTTTTTGGAAAATAATTATGGCATATTTTTCGGTATTTTTGTCGTGGGTTAGCTAAAATTATAAAGTCAATGGGTGGAATACAGCTTAAAATTAGTTCATATTACATTTTAAGACATAATCCTCTATTTGAACTTAGTCTTTTGAAAATAAAAGTTATCAGTTGAGTAATTTTATCCTTATGTATAATCTGCCATATTTTTTTTACAAAATTCAAAGAACATGTAGTCACTTCCATTTATTTACCTTAAAATATATAATTTTTATCAAGAATGTTAGCTTCTTTAATTTATATTTTTAATTATAATGAACAAGACCAAGTCGATTTTAATTCAAATTACTTTATTTCACATCATATTCAGTTAGAGATAATTGAAATATTATATAATAATGAATTGTGTTATTTGGTACTTTCTTTCAGGGGTTTATCAAGAATTTAAAAATCTTATGCATTAAGAATTCTCATCTTACAAAAAATACATTGCTGAATAAATAATTAGTTATAACTTTATAAATATTCAAACTTTTTATAAATATGCTAATTATTTTGTTTTTTAGTTGATAATTTAACTTTTTAAGATTTTGTTAGAAATTGTTTTTAATTTTTGATAATTATCAACATATTTAAAGATATGACATCTATTTATGTATCAGATTGGCAATAAATCTCAGCCCCAACAACTTATGATCAAGGACATGATTTTGCTGACTATCCTTATAGAGAAAATCATAATAAAAGTTATCAGTTAGGATAAGTAATAAGATCATTAATGGTATGGGTAAATATTTCAAGATAGTAAACAGCATTATGAAAGAAGTTTAAATACTCTTAAATAAAAAATATGTCTAATAATATTATACATTTACATAAACATAGAATTGTATGAGAATATTTTTTGATTTTTAATTCATTTTGAAATTAAACTTACCCAGTATAAGTTTTAACGGAGTTTGCCTGACCAACATTTCAAAACAAAATTATAAAGAAATTTGAAAATTTTTACAATTAT